GCCTACGTCATAAATGGAGAATCTTGCTTTCATGGATAACTTGGTATCTCCATCCCTGTGGACTTGAAGTTCAATGCCAAGAAGCCTAAAAATCAGAAATGGCATGTTGGGTAACCTTATTTTTTGGCATTTTGACAGGAAGTTAATTTGAATTGGCCTTGCCAACCGCAACTACTTGCCGTATGGCAATCCAAAGAACTATGTTGGGGATGCCTAATATCACGAGTTACCCAACAAAGTCGAAGTCGGTGGAAGGACAGAGAGTCAACCGTTTATTCGAGGTCTTGACGAAGTTGTGGTTTTTGGTGGGTTTGTGCGCGTGTATTTATACCTCGGATGCGTGAGTCATAACTGTGCTAACATCGAGATCTAGGTGTGAGGTTAATCTAAGATACATATACGTGTGAATGAAGGGGGGAGTTGAGGATTTGCGCGGCTGTCGCCATGCTGCGAGAAGGGGAGCCGTGTATCGGAGGCGAATCGATCGGATTACGGAGTTGAATAAGCACGATTCACAACACTACTCTCCGAGCTAATAGCTGGAACCCCTTGTTCGACACGTCGAAGGCTTCCCAGAATTAGGGAAGATTATACCTTGTGTGGAAGGTTTTACTGTTTGGACCAACTGGTCGAGTAAAAGATGGGGCCAAGGCGGAAGCCGTCTGGATGCTCAGATGTGTCCAATCACACATCTCTGGGCGATCTGAGATCGATGAGTGGTTGGTGTGAAGAGCGATGCTGCGTGAACGTAGAGATGTGGTTGGGTGTCTTAGATAATGCTGACATTCCCAACAAGTTTTCATTATTGTCCCTCCTTAAGATGCAAATCAGGCTCCACGCCATGGTACTTATCAGCGATAAAATGGCAATACCGACCCCTTGATGTTTACTTTACATAATCATCCCTAATTATCTTTAGGGAGAATTCATCTATGGGGAGGTTTTGCATTCTAACAATCAGACGCCTTGTCTTCACCTGATAACTGGTGATGTAATGCCTCAAAGCTGACCTGTGAGGCTGTCTAGATCTTAGAACCATCTTATCCTTGTTAAATATGACAGTGGAATTAAAGTTGGATCTTTTCTAGGTTGATAAATTTACCAAGCATCTTTGCACAGGTGAAAATTCTGCTAGCTTCTGTTTCGAGACTGAGCATCCTTAGTTTAAAATCCTGCATCCTGAATAGCAGTCTTTCAAACTAATCAAAACTGTCTATTTTATTTGATAGCTTCGAAGTCACGTTCATGATGGAAACTTTTAAATCACTTGTGTGCATTACAGCCATATTCTCACGTAGTCTTGTGCCGCTGGTTAAGAGACCATTGCTGTGGCCAGCTTGTTTGGCAACTTAATTACCGTATAAACAGCTGTTGCGTGAACCAATTCCAGAATTGGTTTATTTTCCTCTAAGAGTCACCATCGACGTCGATGTAGCCAGGAAAGCAGAGTGTTAACCGACGACCTATCTGCTCGTCAAGTTATTCCTGCCATAAACATTTTTGTCTGCTTTATATATACTGTTACAAAATGACCTCCTATCTTCCCATTGATCACATCATCATTTCGTCAGTGTCGTTCTTAGGAATGAACCGACCCAAATGCTTGAGTCATGCGAAAACCCAGGTTTGTTAACCTGGTTTCTTGGGTGGAAGCGGCTATTTAAATATGGCGTCACGTTTTCGTGAAACCTGCTTTGCTCCACAGTCCATTGGACGCAGTGACATAAAACCGCTGACCTCGCACTGCCCCGGTGGTGTTCTTTTGAAAGTGTATTTTAGCTGACAGTCATAACGTTACCTTTTTAGGTCATCTCCCGACCACCAGAAAAAGAACACCCCTAGCCCTCCCACCTGCCCACTGAAAAGAAGATGCCACTGGCGGCCCGGAGGCCAGGCCACGGAGCATGTGACGTCCAAATAAAGAATTCGCAAGGCTACTGCACGCTCGTGATGAAAGTTCAACCAATGTAAACACCCAATCTCCACTCGTCTGCAAGATATGAATAACAAAACATGTAGTACACGTTATTGAAAAGCGTATTCAACATCTGAACTGTGATACGTCAGTAATTAGTTACTGCCAGTGAAGTTCCCTAGTTTGAAACCAACACAATTTGTAAGCCACACCGGGGCCAACTGTCTACGATGCAGAGAACGCGCAGCTTAACTAGTAACACAGTGGTTGCACAAGATAACAAGTCAAAAGTTAACATTAGGATCGGTTGATATCGATCTCTGTACGAACATACCAACATGAAGGGCCTACACGTAAATCGATCGCTACAAGACTATGGGAAGGAATTTGGAGTACATCTGTAGGCTGCGACAAATGTGTACTGTCTGCGTGATTAGACTTGCTTCTCGGGTATAATTTAAGTCAAAAGTTTGACCGTTAATTGGGTCAGCGGAAAGTCTGACAGGAATTGGTAGAAGTAGCGAGCTTTTATGGGAACGACACACGACTATGTGATTTGTCAATTTAGATCCGATTTTTCGTGCCTTTCGCCCACTTGGTTTGGGCTCCCATACAAATTTAAAGGGTTTAATCACCAGGGCTGTGATACGCCTGGTTTTTCACCCAGCAATATCACCAAAGAATTATAGCTTTGCCTTGGCTTTACGAATGATTATTTGCCGTTTTTAATTCAGAACGACAGCTTTAAATGCGTACGGAAATTGTTGGAGCGAGGGTTGGAAGTGACTTGGATAACTTGTAACATAGAGCACGACGCAAATAGGACACTAGGTGTAATGCAACGTGGGCGGATTTTGCACCATTCTTGCATATCTTAAGCAGGTCTCGCTTCAGCAATGCGCAGGCGTGAGGAAACCTCGGGGATTGGCGGAATCCCCTAAAAAAACTATACGCTAATAAATTTCCCCATCATCCAACCTTCAGTCATGAATTCACACCTCCATTCCAAAACAGACCTAAATGCAAATCAGGTGGTGATGTTGATGTAGGTCATTAAGTTCCTCGGTAATTTACCTGAACATAAGTGGGAATTTGTGTGAATGAAGGAAGAATTAGTCAAATGACAAAATGATGCACCGATACAGGCCTCATGAGAAGACAGGTGTCTTGTCCGCTTTTGATTGGTTGAATGATGTAAAACATGACTACCAATTATAAGCCAGGACAATATGCATCAGCCCCAAATTCCATGGTTTACTAGCTATATGGTTTAACGTGGAGGTTTTCTAAGAGCATCTAAGATATATTAATAGATTTTATGAGTTATTCTAAAAATTAGTACCTTGAATAAAGCCTACGGAGATCTCCTAGAGACTAGGACGCTCTTTTTAACACCTTGCCAAGGTATACAGGGGATCGTGCTATTCGATCACAACCCTTAAAAACTTTATTTTACCGCTTGAATGAAGATTTCCTGTTCTAAGTTATAGGTGGTTGATTGGTGAATATCAATTCACAATTTAAACTACACGAAAAGGGTGCTGTATACGTAATAGAGGACTTATCACCTGCTATTTGAATACTGTAAAAAGCAATCGCACACACACACACAAACACTGCACGAAAGCCGCAGTAAACTGTTTGCAAAAAGCACCAAGTCCCCATTAAGTACGCATTTTCGATTTTTCCAGGACACACTAGCTAAATTTTCGGAGCAGTTTGAAAAGTGGTTGATCTATGGTTGTCATTGGCGTTAACTATCCGAAAAACCACGAACTGGCAGAGAAATGCTGCAGAAGTCTTGATATTTGTCTCCGTGGCATTCAGGGAATTTTAGGTAATTATACCAGAGCAGTTATTAAAATCAATTAGGATTGTACGAGTTACATTTCTTCCATGTCTTGAGATACAGCATGGTCTTGGCTCAACAAGTACTGGAGTAAGCTTCACTCTGAAGTTGAACTCTAGGCATATAATGAGTCGAGTGTCATAAGAGGATTCAAACGACCTTGAGACCGCTTTATGCCTGCGTGATCATGCCACTGGTCAGATCGAAAATTACATCAATCGGTACTTCACAACCGCATTCTAAGTAAGTACGGGCCTACTCAAAGAGAATCAATCTGACTTATCTTATGTGGAAAGACATAGGCAAACGCAACGTTGAAAGTTGCTTCACTTGTGACGGCTGTTGAAACAGATATGAAGCATCCGAAAGAGGATCGTTGAAGATGTCCCGAACTAACAAGTCGGTTAATTTAACCATTAATTCGAAGAAGAGCTGCCAAAATCCCCAGAGACGGTGGTAATAAGGACACCCTGCGAGATTTAACGGAAACATCTAGCAACCGTCAGCTTCCCGAATGCACTTATTGTGACCGTGTCCACGTAAGAGCGACTACAATTGATGGACGAAGCAATCAACGAAATCTTAACCCAAAACCACACCCTAGAAGTTTGATTGTCGTTTTTCAGACTCTTGCTTCCGGAAAACCCATGAACTGAAACTAAGCTAAAACCATCTTTGCCAAGACGTTAGACCCACCCCGTTGGAATTGAAGATGTGTCGTCCGCCTTCGACAAGTTCGCACTGCCCGACCTCAGGACTGGGGTCACAACCTTGTCTGCGCAGACTGAAGGCAGTAATTCTCAAGCACCTGCGCACTCTAACAGCAGCACACCACGCAGTAAACCCCACACTGACCCCGCAAGGCCAAATCTAACCCAGGCCTCAACAAAAATGACTTCGCACAGGGAACAGGGCCGGCGCTTATGCAAGTAAATTCACGACGCTGTGCGACTAACACAGGGTACTTGAGTACTTAAATTGTTGGTATGGTTCCCCGAATAGAAACGGACATGCAAGAATTACTTGCATGCTGAGTCAACCGAGGACCGAAACAAGTTGTAAGGAGAAGGGCTTTAAAGACAAGTGATTCGATTTTCACTCGCGTACTTGACATATGGCGCGAATAATGAGTGCATGCGCGGGCCTACATTTTAAGGAACGGTAGGGTGGGAAGGGGGTTGTTGTAATAATCAAAATAAGGTTCTACTCGTGGTCGACATTGGGCGTGGTGTGTGGCTAATCTGGCGCATCCAATCGAACCGACAGACAGTCGCTATCCGCCACCACAGTCGCGGGATCTCTCTGTGTGACTAGTAGTTGAGTCATTGGGGTTCCATTGGCGTCGCTTGCTTCAATGCAAGTCACCCTGGACGGGGACTTGGGACCGTCTGCCGACACCGGGAACTCCAGGCCCTGAGGCGGCGGCTGTTGGCTTTCTACGTGCGGAGAACTACAGTGAGAATGTAATGCATGGTATAAGTTGCATGCTAACACAAGTCTAAAGTAGTCAAACAGCTAACAACTACAATAATTAGTCCTTTCAAATGAGAAGAAGTAAGGACGTGCGAAGGCATCGCAGTCGGTTCGACTTGAACTCCAATCCATGAAACCAGAGGCGAACAGCTAGATTAAGAACCCGTTCACATGGCCCAGGTAATAGATGAAACCTGTCAAGGGTTGTTGTCAAATGCGCTGGCTACATACGAAAGTGGAGGGGAATGTAGAGGTCCAATAAATCATAAACATTATCCCCCCAGTTGCGGTACAAATTACCAAGTTAAGGAGCTGCCAAAGAACAGTAGGAATCATGTGAGGGACCTAAACCGCACCTGGGAGGTGAATGTCAGTAGTGGGCACTTAAATATGTATTTACGATCAGGACTGGTTGCAAATGTAGGTGGTGGGAGGATAAGCAGCAAGTAAAGGCGAACAATTTGATTGTGATAACCCCCCCCCCCCGACGCCAAAAAAAAGAGGTAACCCATAATAACGCAAACAGAAGGATTGAAAGACGACTGTACAGTTTGGAGTTTCACTATTAACTACACACTCCTCCTCCATGGAATCCTACTTGACCACCTACGCAATACGACTAAACGACCAGTTACTGCAATGAAGCATCAGATTAAAAGATGAGCCCTCTGCTACTCATCAACTATTCACGTATTGTAATACCACGTGACGATACCACAGAGAGACGTCTGGGCATAAGTTTTTATTGCATCAGGCTCGTGTAGATACCGCTCCCAAGAGCTCAGAATCATAGCCTACAATTAAATAGAAGTTTTGTTCAACTTGCTGTGGCTCTGAGTTGGATACGGAAGATCAGAAGACAGTGTGGAGGATCTATTTGATGAAACAATCTGCGGAATTTAGCAATCATATTGCATACTATTGATGCTCTCGACTATTGGTTCATCTCAGCCAAAAGAAAGACCACATACGGGGAAAATAATGACTGGACGACGAAAACGTGAGTGGCTAGGTCAAATTCTAGCTCCGGGTGGAATGTTTCAACAGACAAGTCAAAGGATTAACGATAAATTAATCTGGGCCATAATTGTTATACGAGGTAAGAAGTGTCCCCCAAAATCCTGGCGTGATTAGAACAGTGTGGTACCATTCATGGATTTTCAAATCAGTTTCTACTTCTATTTTGAGAGGCGACAGCTATCCACTGATAGCAGCACTCTTTTCTAAGCATAAGTTAGTGCACAAAGGCATTCAAAATTGTGGACGATATTCTACGATATTCAAAAAAACAACCTTAAATGCAGGCATTACTCAAAAGAATAAGAAAGCATCATTGTCACAAGAAAGTGCACCGGAACAACTTCCCCCAGTTACGGATTTTGAAATTTGTAACGATTTATTCCAGAGCTACTAAGTCTGCTTATGATCCATGATATAAAAAGGGAGTGGCCCGACAGTGACAATGTTAAAACGAGAAATTCCGTGCAAATGCAGTGAGCAAATGTGACAAAGCTGACTCGAGGTGATTTGTTCTAGCGAGTTTTAGTGAGATGCTTCTCCTAGGTGCAAGAGGTCACATGCACTAGACAATGACAATATTTGAACACACTGTAAATTTGAACATATTTAGAATCTATAATACCGTTACGGACTGCAAAGAATGCATCTGGCTAGTCTCAAAGTCCAAAGCTGGGACACTCAGTGACCTGTGTCAAGTTGAGGTTTATGCTTCTATGCTAAAACGTTCAATATAGCATTACAACTTACACAAATTTTACTAGAAATACACCCCGACTTTGTCTTATTAGGGTACAAAATGAAATGCCCTTGTGCCTACAGAAAATGGAAAATAAATGACAAGGTTACGATGGCTTGAGTACACGGACCAAAGCGAGATGCATAAGACATGAATAAGTGATGAACATAATTCCAGGCCACGGTCTCAAAATTAAACGGACGGAAAGTTACAATGTGGGTTTAAGATGTCAAATTTGAGTCTTATGAAGCCAAGCAGAGAGCGGATTCTGTTATCAAGTAAACAGAATGAAATGGATAGTAGAAAACGCCCGTGTACAATGAAAGAGAGCATCACTAAAAATCCTAAAGGTTACCAGACGGTGCACCGAAGACAGCACTGACTGTACGGCTAGTTTTATTTCTACGGAAGAGTTAGGAGAGTCCACAAGTGCGAAAAATGCAGACGTTAAATCTCAAAAGGAAAAAAACAGGAAAGGCCTAGGACAAATAATCAAATATCGTGGAGCTGAGAACGTGATATAGATTAAGACAATGAGTAAGATGCGTCACCACATAAATCACATGGTTGAGGATATTTAAGTCTAAGCAGTCTTATGAAGATTGGTACATGAAGCGATCTCGTAATAGCAACACTATTGTTCGGACTACAACCGTAAATAACGGACTCCATTATGTTCGTTCAAGTATGCCAGTGAAAATAAGGCAAAAATAAACATAAAAATAAACATACATAAGACATACCGATCAAAAGTCTGAGGTTGGTGGAGGCTGCTCAGTTTGTAAGAAATATTCCCATATTGCTGAAGTGGATGACATGTTTCCACAGCATGGCGGTAAAAAAAGTGGAGGGACCGACGCCACTGAAAGTGAGGTCGTGTTGAAAAGCACAAACTCATGAAGACAGTTAAGGCTGACATAAGAGGAGAAGCAATAATTACATAAGGAAGCCGCAGGTCATTGTCGAGTTCGAGGGCCAATAAAACGCCGGAAGTTGCGATCAATAAAAGAGATACTGCATATCCAAAACTGATGTAAAACGACTGCTGTCTATAGTTCGGAAACCTATTTACACAAGTAAGGCGAGATAAAAATGCTACAATTTCTACAAAATCCAGAAGGAAGAAAAAGGCCAGAGCGATCCAATTAGGCAAAAACACAGTTTTCCAGCTCCATTTAATAATGCGGTCCGATCTCAGAGCAGAGAAAAGAAAGAAAATCGCATTTGCGGATACAATGAAATATAGATCACAATTAATGTCATTTTTGATTGCCCAAAAGCTGACGAATAGAGAAGCGATACTTAAAATTAACAAAGGCAAGTAGACAGATAACCAGCTGTGGTGGGCATTCTCCAACCGATTGCAGGCCAAAACTTCAAAGAAGAGAAGGTTTATGTGAAAAAATGCATCAAAGAATGTCTGTTTAAATTGTGACTGTGTTTCAATGTAGTATCGAGGACTTCGGCAAAATGCGAAAATCTCGAAAAGAAAACCACCAAACATGACGGACTGCCAGAGCCAAAGTGGAAAGAAAACCACCCAATAAGGCCAAAAAATAAACTTATCAAGACGTAGAGCGAGAAGTGCACTGAACATAAACACAAGTGAGAGTGCAAAGAATTGTCCACGGTTGAAATTATTGCAAAAAAATGGAGGTTCCATAATAAGTCAAACTGTCAGTCAGACACGTGACTCAGGGTTGCCACTTAAGAAATGTTAAACACTGGTTGCGTATTGGAGAAACACAGTGAACGTAGGAAAAAGTGGGTAAAACCCTACGATCAACGCATAGCAGGGGCCGATATTCTACGCTTAGCATTCAATTGGTTTTCTCTGTCGCTTTGTACGCGTACAAATAATACAAAAAACATAAACAAATTTTAAGGACTTACACATTCAAATTACAAAAATTACCTTTTCACGTTTTTAATGCATCTTCTTTCACTGTGTTTTGCAAACTAAAGGTATTTCAAAATTAAAGTAGTGTGTTCGATAATTTTTTTGAATGAAAATTTTGGAGACTTTTTTTAATGGTGTTAAATAAGTTGAAATTATATTAAATTGGCCAATTCTTCTTTTATTGTCCTGCACACCTATAGTACACATTCTATTTCAGCCTAGCCATACTGGCAGCTATGCATTTATCGGACAATTTATAAAATTAATATCAAAATATAGTTCCATTACAGCGCTATTCAAAGACCACCGCACTTTTAATTTACGTATTAAGCCTCATCAAAGCACTGACTCCCTGAAGAACAAAAACAAAGAGCGAAGTTTGCTCGTGACAAAAGACTTTATCATGAATTAATTCCATTCCATCCGAAGTCCCTTTACCGATAAATCTCAGCTGCAAACACAGAAAATATCGTGCTTATTGTTCTTAGTGAACAACACAATAATGCTCCATACGCATATCAGAAAAATCTGCTTTTTGCAAACGTTGTAGCTGGTAAATTGGACATAGAGGAGTTAGAAATATTCTAGAGAAAATTTAAGACCGTCTGTTACAATGATATTTCATTTACTTATTCTCCTTGTAACTTCTTTCATCAAGCATTTCTTTAGATAAAGAAGCTATTATCTCAAATCTTAATACATTTGATACAAATTTCAGATCTTATCTTAAAAGTGACTTGGCTTATATTAACTTTTAAGGTAACCTTCTTTTTTGTCAAATGGCAAACTGTTAGATTCTGCAGGATAAGTTAAGATTTATGGGATGCTAGCATAGTAAAATCCGGGTTCTTCTACGATCAAACGATGCCAAGAGCAAAAAAATAATTAAACAATTTTTTATATCCAGACCCATTCTTCTAACTTTAGTAGGAAACACTGGAACATCGGTCTTATGCTCCGCCAACATAAATGTCGTACAAGCCTCAAATTGTTAAGGCTTGATTTCTTGTCTAGATATCAGAAATGAAGAAAACATTATGAAATTTTTTAAATGACGATAAATGGGTTTAACTGTGATTCAGTTACAGACTGATACAGAAACAGCTATTAACAAATACTGGTGAACATGACTTGATTTTTTGTCCTAATTTTAATGTTAGAAGTATTATACAACCTCATTCTCCTCAAGATAACCTTATACTCTGCTCATTCGAGTATATATTTACTTCTTGCCCTCCATCGTCTCCAGTTTGTTGATAAACTGAAAATCGTGGACTGGCGATTGGCTAAGCTGCAGGTGATCACATTTGGCTGCAGATTGTAGAATACCCGAGCCATAGTAGGTAAAAGACCGGTACAACAGGACAGGCTTTATTGACCAATCAGAAGCCAGAGCCACGCGTCAGGCGCCTTCCATCCGAGTCGACCACGCTGGCCACGCCGCTCATTATATACTGCATCTCATCCATGTCCTTCTCTGGTTGGCTGCCTTCCTTTCCCGCATGCCAGTGGATCGCAGAGAGACACGGGATTGGCTGAGGCCAGGTGGTCCAACATGTCTGCGCCCTAATCCGACGCCACAAGATAATTGCGGCGATTCGATCCTGCGTGGGATGTTAGAATGCAGTCGAACCTTCTAAGGAGAAGCTAATCTTGTAATTTTTTTAACATGAAGCGTGTTGGAATATTTGTCGAAGAGAGGAAATTTTCCCAACTTGGCTTCAAAAACTTCGTTGAGTGGAGAAGGTTGTGTGTTACATTTCAAAAACATTATTTGAATTAGGCCCGATAACTGTATTGAGTTCTCTCGGGTACACTCTTTTTCTCGCTAAATCTGTAGATTACTGAACACGAGTCCTTTGAATGCCAAGGCCCCTTTGACCTAATTGTTCACAAATCTTTATTCCTCAAGGCCCGTGATCCTTTTCTCTGTTCTCAGTTTGAGGTTTTAGTTATACGTTCCTTACACTTTTTAGAATTTTGTTCGTTCTAACATAAATATCCTATTCATCGACAAGATAGATTCGGTGTCAGCGATTCTGGATCGCTTTAAGCAATGTGAAAAACTTGCTCGTAGTATTAAACTTTTTGGGTTAGGTATGTGCTTTTGAATCGTTTTTTTCCAAAATTTCTGGTTTTAACATCACTTTATATGCAGCATCTGTATAGAAAATTTTGTGGGTCCTTTTTATTAGGTTTCCTGCAAATGCTTTTTCAGTACACTGCTACTACCTGAAGCACTTATTTTGGATACCAGGAGAGGATTTTTAATAAATCGGGAATCACCAAACTCGAGACCCCCACATTTTCCTGTCCAACCACTTAAATTTAGAAATTCCCACTCGTCAATATGGAAACGGCATCTTCTTTTCATAATCCAATGCATTTCAGCGTAATTGTTAATTCATTACAATCCTAGCTAACTTGTATCTCTAAAATCTGTCTCGCCGTGTGATTCCGTAAACGTTCAGTTTGTAACATTTACAGGAACTGAACTACCTAACTAGTTGCCTGTTGCCTAAAATTTTCTTCAAATTAAGAGTACCTTTTTTCTTTTTATTCTAGGGGATGTGGTCCTAGTGCCGCCCTTTTGTTTGTGCTGTGGCGACCTAGAAAAAGATATTTATTCATTTCGAAAAGCAAATTTAAAGTTCCCTGTCGGTAGGTCATTTTTTTGTGTCAGTGAAACCTGCCCCACATGTTTGTTATGCTATCCTTTTTCAAACTTGGCTGATCGGTCCACGAAATTTCAATATCTACTAGTGATTGTGTCACATTCGTGCTGTGACTTATTTACGCGGTGTGAATTCATAAAACACGATGCTGGTGCCCAACCATATCTGGTAGCTTTGGTGGCACGCCTACCGTTTTTGTCGAGTCTGACACTATTAATGGAGAAGGTGTGAGTGAAGTATAGACAGCCCAATTTCGGCAGTCGTCAAAGTCAGCTTTATATTTATTAGTCCCTTCGGTATGTCCATGAAGCCATGCTTCGGAGTGACTTGTCTCAAACAAGTTTGCAAAATTAGGTGTTTCATGTCCAATTAATCATGGGACAGACTATTTTGCTACCTCATTGTAATCGTTAATATGTAAGCTGCAACATATAAATCGCAGATTCTAGCATCCTTTTTGTCCATTAGTCTGTGTAATTCACATTCTTGCCAGTATTACTTTGTGTCATTTTAGTTTGCAAGCCCATCGCAGCTCACGGTGACGCAGCCGCTCATGATGTAGGATTTGCGATGTGCATCTATACTGTTCGTTTAGATGATGATACTCTTTAGAGAAGAAGATCTGAAGCTAATCAAGACCCAGGCTGTGCTACAAAACTTTGAAAATCATGACGGTTTCCTTTTGAAGGCCTACGTCATCGGTGATTATTTTCATCTTGTGCTACGACCATCTATTAAGAATCTGTCCAAAGGTATACAATCAGGAGGTATTATATACTTCCTTTCTAGATCACGACCCAATTATTTTTAATTCACATCACGTTTCGAAAGAATCTTCCCATTCCGAACTTAACAATGTACGTTACTGCTTTCTATCTGCTCTAGGTGGTCTCGCGGTTTGTAAAATCCAGATTTAAGTTCCTAATTCTGTCTATGGCAATCCCTGCTCGTTCTCCTTTCAACCTAGTTTAATTAAAGTTCTGTGCATTCAAAATGCGACAACCGGGTTAAATCGGAGGAATTACTTTCAAATTCCAGCTCATCGTTGGTGTTGTACCTCGTCAGACGTTTCCGCTTATATGTGGCAATCTCTTAGTTTTGAGGTTATTTAAAAAAGTCTGTGAATTTAGACTCCCTTTTGTGCTTTCACTAATTAATAACGGAATCAGGTTTAGGCACTCCTTCTGTTTAACGATCCATTCGATTTGCTGCTTTCGTTGAGGCGATGTGCTTTGGCAATACTTCTTTCACTGTATACGCCTCCTTATTCTCTCAAAACTATCTTCTGTAGTTCTCTTCAAGTAACTGATTCCATGCCTACATGGAGACGACAATTCCTTAGTTAGAAATTGTGGTTTTTGTAGATATGTTACACAAATCGTCCTTCTTTTCACTTACCAAGTTTTGGGGCTCATCCAATCACGTGACAGTCGTAATTTTTGGCCAATTTGTTTTGAGAACGACGCCTCGCGCCTCCGTGACTTTTATTTTATTAATTTTCCATTAGGATGGGGGCATTCCCCAAATTGAGGACATATGTGTCGAGGAGGATTTGATCAAGCGAACAATCGACGCTCTCCGCACTCACCTGGACCTCGAGCTTTTTGGTGTCGATTTTCTCATCCTCCCTCCTTCCGGGCATGAGCACCGCCTAGCCGTCATTGACGTAAACATCTTCCCAGGTGGATTTATAAGTGTTTTTCTATACATTACATCATGATTGGCTGTCTTGGCGTGTGTCTCCTAAACTTCAATAGTCCTGCTCAAATGTATTTTTTTAATGTGATTTTGGCACTAAGATGTGTTTGGCGCATATTTTATATTCTCGCAGGCCACAAGGCTCTTCAACGGGTGCGCCTGTTGACGTGTTTCTATTGGTTGTTGTGGACTAGCCAATTACATTCCTAGTCAGGGTTTTACATTAGACTGAATTTGAGCGCAAAAATTACCTCTGAGACAGAAGTTATTAGGAGCCCATTTGGGTGTCTTTCCATCCCACAAGATGACATTTAACCGCGAATTTTACCCTCATGTGTTTGGGTTGTGCGTTGGTTCCTCTGATGGACGCGGTTGTCGAAGTCCTTGTTGTCGTGCGCTAAATATCCGATTATTCTCCAAAAACTCCTTCAGGACAAACCTATTTTATTCGAATCGATTAATTTAAGCCTTAGGTAATTAGTGTTACAGCTGAAAAAGGGAATGCCCAGAGTTGGGACTTAGCGGGTCGAATCCAGGAAGTCTTGTGCAGTGGTAAACGTGGAGACCACTTCGGAGAAGTGGGTGCCCACGAAATGGAGCATTTTGAAACTCCAGGACTGTGTTGTCTGAGCATTGAAGTACGTCACCTTAACGCCGGCCGTTTTTCACTTCAGTTTCGCCGTGTCAGTGAATTTGTACACGTAGAACAGTCCTGCTTTCATGTCTCCAGTTATGGCTATTTTTCGGCTACGCATGAATACTTGCATAACTGTACATACTCTTTGGACTCCTATTCTTTGTTATTCAGACTACAACTGCGTCCCTGGTTTCTTCTTCCACCTGGAGAACTTGGTGCGGACAAAGTTGGATTTGCCGAAGTTGACTTCCTCTTCCATTTTTACATGCCGTCAGGAATGACTTTCCAGTCTCCAAATTTACTGCGATTTAATCTTTGCTGCGACATTATAAATAAATCGTCTGTGTAATTTTCGGTTGCTGTGGTATATCGGTATAAATGAATAGAAAATAGGAAATTTGGCTAGGTGATGGCAATTCTGTTCAACTTTTGTGGAATCGTGTGAAATATTTGCAAGAAGGAACCCATGCAAATGCTCCACACGGGTTCTGACGTCTTGTGCCATAACGCTGGCATTTTCCTCATTGAGACCAGATTCACAATTACTTAGATTGCGGAATCAAATTTAGTTAGTAATTGTTCTCACTTTCTTCGACTTGGATTTGGCCTAGAGCCCATCAGCGTGTTCGTCTACTCGAAATGCCCATGGTGGATGCGTTCCAGCAGCCACGTGTCCATGAGCAAGATCCCCGGGAAAATTTTGGGCTCTGGTGTGCCACCCACGTCCCTTGGTGCAGCATCGACAACCAATCAGCAACATTAGTTGCCTGGTTTACTGGTCGATATTTGTGTATACCAGTATCGACTGTGCTAGTGACTGTAATTGACCAAACAGCTTTCGGTTGGATTTTATTGTAGTGCCTTCGAAAATCCCTCAGCGAACAAGGTTGCTTAGCTATATCTATGTCATGGCTCTTAAAGAAGTACTAGTTTAAGTCTTTTGATCAAAATGAATCATTCGTATCTCTGTCGACAGTCCAGATGCATTTTGAACTCCTTATTGGTCGCCATACAGCGATTAGGATGGAAAATGTAGGGTCAAACCCCAAGGTGTTGAGCTAGCTAATGTCATGTGCATAACACAAATGCGAGAGTCATTATGTAATAGGTGATCTGGATGTTTACGGACAAAAAAACGTGGTACGACTAGCCATTCGTCGGTACAGGGAATTCCTCAGACCTCTTACTTGGCCCTTTTTACTGCTAGAGTTGATTTGTGGAGATTTTTGTCAATTGTAAATCCGATCTACTTCCGAATAGAAGAGTTCTTACGCTTTCTCAAAACCTGGAATCATGTCACCAGATGTCCAGGTGCTAGGTTTTTTCTGTAAGTGCGGATAATTGTCGATTGTGTACGTTAGCGATATCAATTAATTGAGGCGAGTAGAGTGCCGCTAATAAATTCAGAACTTTACTAATAACCACACACCTTTACCCTATTAATCCACAGAAAGCTGTGATCTAAATTTATTATTTTTAAACAAGCTGGAATTTAGCAGCATAGAATTTAAAGCACTTTATTTTGGATTAAATAGATTTCGGTGAGTTATAACTTAACAATGATCTTGTTTGAGGCTGCAGTAAGTTGGTTTGCGTATAAATCGAATAAAACGAGTGCCATTAAAGATAACGTATCAGGCTTCGTTCTTGAGACTCTCTTTAATCCGTAATTTTTCCACATTACTAAGTTCTCATCAGATCTGTTCACATCTATTGACTTTAAATATGCTTTTGAAAGTCTTATTTAGGGAAATTTGGCAGTCGTTGTATTTATTCACTGGTTCCTAACATTATGCAACTTCCCAAGCTGTTTGAATGTCGAAATACGACGGTGATTACAGTGCGTGCTGATTGTACGAGCGAATTATTGATCATTCTTTTAAACAAACCGAAACGTGCAATTGATCGCGATAACGCAGTATATGGACCCCAGGTGTGTCAGATACAGTGAATCGCATATGTGGAGCATTTTACCGTAGACTTGGTTCAATCTTGCAAAATGACCAACCACGAAGCTCCCAATTCTGGCCCTTCCCAAGAAGAATCTGTGCAGCCACTGTCCGAGATAATGTGCAACTGTGAGCTATGCTATGCAAGATTGTGCGTATCAGCCAAATCTTATACAGATGATGACTCAATGTATAACCTTGATCCACTTGACAATGTCCAGTTTCCTATGAATCCGAAAATGTTGACGCCTTATTTTGCATGTGGATACAATTTAACTAGCAGCTCAGTGTGCGGTGGTGCTAATTCCCCTCCAATAAACAAATTACCTTTTCAAATTGAGATGAGTCCTGAGGCATTATTGACCATGTACCCATCTCCTGGATGGCATTACTGTTCGAAGATGGTGGGGCAGATGCCTTTCGAAGGCGACTTTGGTTTGGCGGCAATGTCAATCAGTCCCCAGCTGTATTTATCCAAAGAATCAGTCCTTCACCTGAGACTTTCAGCCTATGTTGTGCTCGAAAGATCAGGAACGGCTTACCGTTTGATTAACTACCGCAACAATTCTGCGCTGGCACTAAGCGAAAACGGCCAATATGGATACGTGTACCACTTTAATTGCCGGGGTTTGATTAACATTCATCACGAGAAACTCTCAATCACATTTGATAAGGAGCGGCAAATACTTTTGCGGACAGAAAAACCAAGTTTCGTGAAGAAGGAAAATGAGTACTATCGTCTGACAATGCATCATTGGGCGCCCTGCAGACCAGTGTCGATGGATTTCTTCGATCGCGATCGAACGCCGGAGATCCTGAAGAAGTCTGGGTCAGACAGAGCAACCGATGAGGCGAAGCTGATGGACCTGATCAACTCTTCGGTGATTCAAAGAGAACCCAGTGGCCTCACGAGTAAGCTCACAATTTGGCAGTAGCAGTAAGATGCTCAGCTATTATGTAGTTTATCTAGGTGATGCCCGTATTGAGCAGCGCTTGAACGGTGATGTAAATCTCTCATGGATGCATGGATATCAAGCCAACTCACTGGTTGTTTCACCCCTCACCGGCGGTGTCAGTTTGTCGACCAAGAATCTGGAAATCATTGCCACACCGAAAAATGATATCTACATCTCATTTGCGGACTTCTTTGTTCATGCAGAGTGAGTGAGGCAATGCTAATGCTATCGTTTATGCGTCAAATTTAGCATTTCTATCGAACTACCACAAACCAACTATTGGACAGCAGTTTTCTAGTCACTTTTTCAGAACTTCTTAGTGTTTTGATGATGCCACAAATTATGAACAAACTTAAGCGAAAAGTTAGGTCTTGTAGGTGCTCACGAATTCAACCTTCCATGTGCAAAACTAAATTAACTACCAGCACACTTTCAGGTACCAGAAATTGTAAGTTAACTCAATATTTTTTTACTCAATGAAGAAGGCTCGTAGGCTCATGACTGGTTAGTTTAAAAGCCCTTAGAGAATTGAAGTACTGCGACTATCATCTTAATTAGAGTTGTGTTCACATTTCTGCAAATGTATTTTATGCATTTTATGAGTAAAACACAATCCCTGTTAATCAAAATGTCATCCGAAATGTTAAGTGTGATGTGCGATTTGTAGACTTTCTTGCGGTACTAGTTCACCTTAGGTTGAAGTATAGTTTTACTCTTATGAACACTATGGCTACCTACTCATTGGTGTTGTCGCATTCATTGAGATCGCAACAAATGACGGTTTACTTGGAATAATTTCCACAAGTATTATACACATTTTCCTGGTTGAAAGCGTTTCTAAATAACAAATTAAATGCTTATATGTACTATTCATGGTTCAGTTTGTTTTCAAGGTCTTGTTTAAATTTGTAAAACTTTGAGGAAGTCTGATTTGATGTGGACTATTTTGGTTCCTCGCATGCCTTTCAGCAAACCCGATGCTGCAGCCTAGATGATTGAGTTCTGGCAAAAATGGCTGACGACTTGCTAGTAGTGTGTTACTAATCAAAACGAATACACTAGATGATAACGCACTTAGCAGCGACGTGGGAGTAGCATTCAAAACCAACTTTACATCAAGGAATGTTAGGCCGTGACCAAACTGGCAGCTGTTGCTGAGCCGAAGAATCGAAACTGCGATGTATGGAGTTGGGAAATCCAATGTTTAAAGTGTTCTAGTGGCCTATTCTATCCACGGAGTGATGATGCTATTAATTGTATGCATTAAATTCGCAATTTGAAAAGTACTCGAATGAGGCTTCACACATTCAAGTTCAAATTTCAGCAAAAATTTTCACTTTCCAAAACTAAAAACGACTTTGGTTTTGCTTCCAGAGCTCAGCAAATGACCGTGAGCAGTGGTGCAGTATCTGGTCGTCCTAATTACCCAAAATGCCATCCTTGTCTTCTCAAGCTGGTCAATAGCCATGCTGAGAACCAGAATGTGCCGCAGTACTGTCCCTACGTGAACCACGCCCAAGGGAGCCCTCCGCAAAGTGGCAACAGACACGGGGTTAATGGGCGCCATGAAGGAGGAGGTGGTGGTCTGAATAACGGAAAGGGTGGCAGTGGAATTAACGCGCCACCAACGGAGACTCCAGCGACGCCAGGTTGCACCTTGGAAACCGAGGAAATTGCTGGGTCATCGTGTGAGAGCAGTTGTGCCAGCGTGTCACATCCCACTGACGCGGTGCCATCGACAGCTGTGAAAATGAGTTAGAGAGGTAAATGTGGTGAACGATGGTTGAAGCTTCAAATTTCCTGCCCCTTACCGATTTCTCAATCAGTTCTATCTACTTATATAACGTGTGCAGCTGAGCTGCGCAATAAATTTTCCGTGCTTGTACGGTTTATTTTCTTTGTGGTTAGGTGAAAATAGCAACCAAAATATTGTTCTTAGGTAAATATATTGTTTAAAACCATGCACCTAACTTTGGGTTCTCCAAGGCAATTATTTTATGCAAAAGCACATCTTAACGGATACCTCTAGTCGTTACGCTTGTTATAGTCTATGTTTACGTTTCGGAGTCGAAGTGCGCTTTACTGCAGTGGTTTTTGGTTGACATTTCGGAAGAAGTGCTATGAGTTCAAAATTCTGCATCTACTTTTGCGCAAAAGACGAAGTGAGTGCATCAAAATATCTTGAAATGATTGTGTTATCAAAGGAAAATAAAGTACTGTTGAGCTATTTGGGAAGAAAAGTATTTTTTTTAGCTGAAGAAACAGTAACGAATCAATTTCTTCTCCTCATCCACTTGGAATACTCCTTTAGTGATTAATGACCACATGATGTAAACACCTAGGGCATGTTCCAATCCATTACACCTCATCGCCCCACATGTTATTTCCACTTAATGACAGGTCAACACCAAACATTTGGGAATTCAACACACCGACTTACGCCACGTCGTAATTATTTTGATAAATTTGAAAAATTTTATTAAAAAGGGGGTCAAAATTATGTACTATTTTTTGAAGCCGTGGAAGCCCATTGGCCAGAACATGGTTAAGCAGACATGTAAGGTAAGTTCCCACCCACGATGTCCATTTCTATAAACAAAAGTGGTGTCAGTATCTTGTCTGCTAGAAACCCGATTATATGTGTTCAACAGTTTTGCTAAGAATTGACAAATAAAGTTATGAAATTAATCAACTGCCTTGGATCAAATTGAATTAAAGCAAATAGCTTCAACTGAATTATATTGTTCAGTCACAACCTATTCTCGAATGATTACAAAATTCTGCCTGCGTTTGACTTTCACTGGCTTAGTTTTGCAGGAGTAATAACTCACAAAATTCATTTCACTTCTGGTTAGAAGAAAATGGCGCCAGTCTTAACAAGTATATTGGCTTCTACCTTTCAGCTAGAAATGGTAAGATCAATAATTAAATATTATAGTGTGCGAAATGAACTAAACTTTGGCAAACGGAGTTCCTTAACACAAATGGCCTTTTCAATTTTCAATACAAAAAATACCTGCGTAAATTCAGAAGCGAGTGGTTGGCGTTGAATTCAATTAAAAATCAGCTGTAAAGTACACACGAAAACGGTTTTAACTAAGAGGATATTGTATGTAAAAATAGATATTCAGTGCCGATGAATTGTGTTCTGGAATTGTAGCCAGCAGTTTCAGCAAAAATGAAATAAATGGTTTTAGTGAAATTTTGAGCTATAGAATACTTTAAAACTATTGAACTGGCCTAATCTGTAAGTCGGAAAAGTCAGGGAAATGTTATCATTTATTGGGAAATTATTAAAGTCTGTTTGAACTCCAAAGATATAAAATCTGTCATGAATTGCGTTAAAAGAAAACAAGTGTATTTGAAAATACATTGTTACATAAGTACAGATAACCACTCAAACAGATGCTGCATTTAAATAAAATAAAATCAATATGGTTTTTAGCGCACCTTTTGAGACCAAGAAGTTTGTGCACTGCTTAGCTCAGGCATGTGCACATCTAAATGTGCATGCTTTGGTTAATTAAAAACTCACCAGAAACGCTCTAAACCTGTGTAAATTTGAAAGAAAACTCGTCGATTAGTAAACTAGGGAACTCGTAAGGACATGCAAAATCACTCCGTGAAACCCTCAAAACAAGTATGCTGATTCATAGCCATTATTTCGAGGGTACCAAATCCTTCTCCTCCATTTAGACCGTTCAAACTCCATATCAGGAAACGAAGAGTGAAGTATGCTGCTTAATGCCTTTCTTAAATGGGTAGGGCAGCCTCATTTCACCTAACCTGTCTAAGAGTACTCTCCAACATTTTGAATAAGGCATTCACGTCAAGTTTTGTTTGCTTTTCAAGGCCCTATAATCAAGGTGACAGAAAAGTTGTGAACTACCTAGCTAACAGCGTCGAACGGCCGAACTCAAAGTTATTTTAGTCCGTCAAGTTTCAGACATATTCAGAAACTTAACTGAAATCTTGGGCACTTAATCCACGATAGCGTGATTTTCAAAATAATCTTCTGATAACCGTTACAAACTGTGCAGGGTCCAGAATCTAGTGTTTACCAATGCTTCGCGGGGTAAAGCAGTGCTCTCTTAAAATCTTAGAACAATTCTAAAAATGCTAGATTTTTATTTGAAGATATTCTGGACATGTGCATTAATTCAGCCTAATTCAGTCGTCCTGGGGGTCGCTTTGGTTTAAGTTAGCCGAAGAGATGCAAAATATATTTATTTATTTCAGAAATACAATTCAAGCCTTCTGAACGAATCTCATACGCTCATTACCTACTTGGGGTTAAAAGTTGATATTTCTCAAACAGTAAAAGTGCCAAATAAAATAAAATCATTATCCAATTATAGCAGACAATAATCACATGCTAAGCTTAGTGTAGATTCAAGTGTCAATCGATCATATTTTTACAAATCACACAATGACGACCACTTTATATCTGAAGATATCAACAGTAACGCTACAACCAAACCAAGAGAGTTAAGCTAGATTTTGGGTTAACCACATGCCTTATAGACGGTAATTACACCCTTACGCTAAACAATTTAGGCTTTTTGTGTTGTTTCTATGTTTATTAACAACTGTTAATTAACGTGCTCAATCCTAATAATTTCTATTTTTGTGGATAAAGTTGAAGTGCCAGAAATATCAGTTACCTACTGAATTTAAATTAGCCCAACTGCAATACATTCGTTAGTGTATCGAACATCTAACAAAACAGTTTTATTTAGAAGGGTTGTCCTTGTCCCACTTGTCCAATTTTTTTTTAGCAAATTGCTAATAATATTCATTGTATACTTAACCTAAATGCAGGAAAATTATTTTTTTTGCATGTTAGAAGGTGTACGAAGTGTTGTCGGGAAGTCGTTGCATTAAAAGAGCAACCAAATACAATATAAAATTTTAATGTTTGGTAACGCTTGGCGGGACATTCAGTGTAATTGTCGAGTAAGTGGTAGGCGTAGTTTGGTTAGGTTTTTGGCCATTTCGCTAAGAGTGTCTGCTTTATTCTTAAAAAAACTCTAGAGAAATTTATTAAAATTCTTTGTCCTTTATGGTAAAAGCATTCAACGTGGTTGTCCTTAGCCGATAACTCGTCAGTGTTCGCATTTATCTCCATTTTCTGTACACGTCTCAGATCCAGAGACTGCATATTGTTAGTTTTACGCTTGTTCCCAGGTCTGGTTTTAATTACATGGCCTTTTTTGTCTGAAAATGCAGGAAACCGCCTGATGTTATTATTTCAAACCATCAATCACTGGAGCTGCAAATAGTGATGCTTACCCTAATTCATTTATTTTACTAGTTTTTCTGGCTAGGTTTTCAAGTTCTTGGTATAAGTCCCAAAAATTTTTTTTAATCACATGTTACTTTGGTAGCCCCCGACATGCTCTGTGATGCGTAAATGCGTTTTTATTATGAAGTCTCATCGTCTGATGCTACCGAAATGTATTGTAAATGATGGTTTTTACATCTGAATATATCATTCTCTATGCTTTTTTAAGACTTTTCAACTGTTTTTAGTGTATTATGATTTTTTTCTGTGTTATTTTGAACTTCTATTTTGCTTTTATATTTTGAATTTAGGTAAATTCATGGATGAAATAGGTCTGTCACCGGCTCCTCACGAACAGGTAACATCTGGCACTAGCTACTATTTGTCTATTCGGTAGGTTGAGGCAGATGTACTTGATTTTACTCCAACCACTAACATCGATCCGTTTCGTCTCAATGAGGAAGATCTATATCTTAAACTCAAGGTAAAAGTCGAGTTTTTTAATGCTGTCACTAGTCCCTTAAAAAACAACTTGAATTCATTAAAGTGCAAGAAGACTATATCATAGATGAACAAAAAAACCTCAAAAAAGAATACATGCACGCACAAGAGGAGGTTAAGCGTATCAAAAGCGTCCCGCTTGTGATTGGACAATTTCTTGAAGCTGTGGATCAGAGTACAGGTATCGTTGGGTCCACAACAGGCTCAAACTATTATGTTCGCATCCTATCAACCATCGATCGAGAGCTTCTAAAGCCAAGTGCTAGTGTCGCTCTCCACAAACACAGCAATGCGCTTGTTGATGTACTCCCCCCCGAAGCTGACAGCAGCATTACAATGCTGCAAGCAGGTTTGTGAACTGTTCTGTTTCGTCCTTTATCATTTCTTAGTACAGTAGTACTTCGGGATAAGAATTACTACTTTTATTCAGCTTATTTGTTTACTAATTTCGGCTTCGTAATTATTGTTCACATACGTGGACTAACGATTTCGGTAATAAATCCATTCTGGAACAGTGCGTTAGTAAGTTAGTTAATAAACCTAAGTTATGATACCTTTTGCAATTTCATTTAAAGCTATAATTAGGAAACTTCGTTTTAACCCAAGACTCGGGCAGTTTAAAACTTAATGCATGCTCTATCGAACATTTTAAGAAACGAAATCGATCACCGTGGTAAAATTCGAGCTGTCGATTGTCTAATTTCAAGCTCTTTTAATTTATTCAGACGAGAAACCAGACGTTTCTTATGCGGATATTGGCGGTATGGACCTTCAGAAGCAGGAAGTGCGCGAGGCCGTGGAGTTACCACTGACACATTTTGACCTCTACAAGCAGATCGGCATTGACCCTCCTCGCGGCGTCCTAATGTTTGGTCCCCCTGGCTGTGGGAAGACAATGCTTGCCAAAGCCGTTGCCCACCATACCACCGCTGCCTTCATCCGTGTTGTTGGGTCGGAATTTGTGCAAAAATACCTTGGCGAGGGTCCCCGTATGGTTCGTGATGTTTTCCGATTAGCTAAGGAAAACGCTCCCGCAATCATCTTCATTGATGAAATCGACGCCATTGCCACGAAGCGATTTGATGCTCAAACCGGAGGTGATTCTCATTTCACGCTACCAATCACTTTAGTGTCAATTTTATTTCTGCAGTAGTATAGAAGTCAGCCATGGGTGTGATGCTACTCACCGTTTGTTGTATCAGACCTCGTTATGTGCGTCTGAAGCGTTTTTTCGATTTTAATGCCTAGGTGCACTCTTGTGAGTACTATTGCCTAAAATTCGATTTAATCAATCCATCAATCTAGCTCGGTTAATGTTACTGATAGATTAATGAACTTATCGGACTTTAGTAGATGTGTACTTCTTTTGATTTTTCTTTGCTGTTCTAGCTGATCGAGAGGTTCAGCGGATCCTCCTTGAACTCCTCAACCAAATGGACGGCTTCGATCAGGCCGTCAATGTCAAGGTATAGTACTGTTTGTTGCACAGTAATCGGAGTTGTTCCTTAATAAACGTGACTAAGACTGATCAAATAACTGTGTCACATCACGCATTACTGGTTACGTTTGAATAGAAGCATCAGTGTCAGCATTTCAGGTCTCTGGTTAGGTTGTCATTAAACTACTAACATACACATCTAGGATTTTGCAGTAGCACATGCTCAAGTGTCTGCATTTACCAAAAAAATGATCTGAACCTTTAGGTTATTATGGCAACAAACCGTGCGGACACCCTAGACCCAGCACTTCTGCGCCCTGGACGGTTGGATCGGAAGATTGAATTCCCCCTTCCAGACCGACGTCAGAAACGACTTATTTTCTCCACAATCACGAGCAAGATGAACCTGAGTGAGGATGTCGACCTCGAGGATTACGTAGCACGACCAGACAAAATCTCCGGCGCCGACATCAATGCCATCTGTCAGGAGGCAAGTCTCTACCGTGTAAAATTTGAAATGGTTTGGAAGGGTGAAACACTGGTCGCACCCTTTCCATGGCGTCATAGCTTTGGTTCCACTCAAAGATTGATTAATAGGTTACCTTAGTGAATCAACTCCAGGAATTCAGGAGACCCGTGGCAGTGTTCTAGTCAGATATCTAACTGCAGGCAACGTAACCAATGATTAATACTTAGTGATAATAGTAGTGGGTTCTGACAGTCTACATAAATTTGTCAACAAGGCATGTGTGCGTAGGTTCTAAATCAGCTCAAGTGTCACCTATTGATGGTCTCCTATAGTAACGTAAGAACTGCAATTGCGTCAGTGTGTGTAGAAACATGAACAACTGCAACTTTTTGCCAACTATTCCTAAAGGTACCAGGAATTCGACAGAAACCGATTAATTTTGTGTGCATTTGACTAGTTGCAGGCACTGCTTCACGATCTGTACACTTGGGCATAATACGCTTTAACGACGTCCATAATTAGTGCGGCTAATACACTACGTCATAACCCAAGATGCGTGTTCGCAGTCATTTGTGTAATGTCATGGGGGGAAAAGTAGTGAATGGTAGACGTCAAAATAAATTTTGAGGGATTCAGATGAATTTAATCTCTATTATTAATGTCATGCTCTCAATCCTACTGCTTTCCCTGTTCTCCACTACTTATCCACCAAGACAGGCGTTACAAATAAAAGAAGTCTACAAAATGTGCTGGCAGAGGAAGGAACCAAAGAGATAGCACCGCGGTTATTACTAATAGTAGAATGTAGCGGATTGTGTTGAGAACAAGAACTCACGTCGAGTGAGTTGTGAACGTGTCAATGATCTTTTCGTCCTCTGATCTAGTCATCTAAAACGTCATTGTCCAAGACACCTTCACCGCTTTTTGCCACATTCGCTTTCGGTGCCTCAGACTCTCGCACTCGTTCTGGCCACTTTTGTTAGGAAACTGCACCTTAGAGATAAGTCGTTGTCAGTAAGCCGGATCAGAAGTTCGTGGCTTGACGATTAAGGCGACTTAAAAACCTATACTCTCAGTTACAGCCCTGTCTATGACCATTTTTCTTTACAGGCTGGGATGCAAGCAGTCCGCGAAAACCGGTATGTTGTTCTGGCCAAGGACTTTGAAAAAGGGTATAAAAATAATATCAAAAAGGGCGACCAAGAATTGGATTTCTACAAGTGACCCCCCCGTCTCTGTTTTATTGCCGCATAAAAATACAAGTGCTTGAAAATGCATGCCCTTCGAATATGCGCTTATCGGCTAACATTATAATTGGAGTGAGACCACAACAACTACCAGATGTCCTTTACAATAGCTGTGTTGTTAACATTGAACGCTCTTGTGAAACGAATGATTCCTACATTATACCACAAAAAATATTTGTACAAACAATCGATACATTGGCTTTTGGAGTTGGCGAAGCAAAACCACCGCCCACGTGGACAAATAATGGAAATGTAATTTCAAGGAAATACAGGATGCCTTGCAGCTTTCTATCACAAAAACATCTGCCCAAAATTTGGAACAATCAGTAAACATTGCCACTAAGTTAAATGCGATCGCAGCCGTGAGCGGAAGTCGCACCCGCTTCATGTGACGCATTTCCACGTCCCTCGCGCGCACACACACACGCACACACACAATAACTGGAGAAGTTGCTCAGCTACCGCAGTCTGAGTGATTCTTCTTAAAACGACCGACGGCACTTCAATGGGTCATCGCCGAGTGAAACTTATTGTTCGCAATCGACCAAATCAAGGGGTGGATGGTTGGGTGTGCACATAAACTCGGTAATAAATAGGACTGGCTTAAAAGTGGTGATAAACCAATGTCAAAGATTGAACATAAGCATTTCGGTGCGTTAGAGGCAAAAGGAGAGGAGGTAGATCTATACACGAGAGGGGGTTGGCTTGTACGAGGCGGCGGCGGTGGTGAAAGACAAGGGATTTTTATGTATAAAAGGGGATGCCTCGGCGATTTGTCACAGGTCGCCAATTTTCAGGCTGGTATCACTTTGACGGCTCGATTTGTAAACTGCGCCGGAGGGAGTCTAGAAAAAAAAACCAACGTATTAGTTAGGCCACGCGTAGACAACAGTAGACGCCAGTAGGTAGAATGTGGCGTCGCAAAAGCTACCTATAGCGTCGAGAATTTCCTTGCCTGAATTGGCGCAAAGTGAAACTTGGCGTGTTGTGGATTTAAAGCTGACGGTAGGACTAACATTAAAGCCAAGTTACGCCTCTGGAAGTCTAGGCAGTAATTTGCTTAAACCATGTTAGCCTCAAAATTTCAGTCGCTGACGAAAGTTGATATTTACAAGTCACGGATTTTCGGGTATATACTGGCACAGGAGGTGTGCTACTCGCTTGCCCGTCGTATCCATTTAACAAGAAGCCCTGCTGGTTCCAGCGCCTCCCCGCTAAGTTCCACCATCCAATAATTCCCACGGTTCTTTAATGTTGTGGCGTGTGCAGTGAATTAGACGCGACGAGGCCAACAGTCTCTGGAAAATGATGGGGATTCACAACATGCGAATTTCGCAAGATACAATCCAAGGTCACATGGAAAAGCCCACATGTACTAAACTGACGCAGATCACCTTTTGGATGCCTAAAAGCAGGTTCATACAAGACGACCCTGGCGAATATGTACTACTAATTTTAGCTTGTTAAGGTCTCACCAATATGAGAAACACTTGGCACGTGGGCAGAAGACAACCACGTAGCACGGCGCTTGTCTTCTGCCGCCACCTACGCACACCTGATGCGGCTACTTGACGCAAATATGATACCGCATTTTTTTAAAATACAAGTTGGACCGTCAACGCTTCAGTGCTTCCGACGTGCGACATCGGCCACTTATTCAGCTTCAATATGGTAAAACGGTGCATACACCCGCGTTGGCAATCCATGAACTTGCATTAAACTTCAGTTTTCGGTGTAAAGCAGCAATGTAGCCTGACTGAATAGCGGGAAATATTACTGCCATTGCCGTGGCAGAAGCACTTTCAACCCTTTCTATGACGTCTATTGCATGCCAGAGCGCGATTAATTTTGGGCCAGGAATCCAGCTACACTTAGCGACATTTTCACCAGCAACTGCGACAAACGTACTGCGTGTGTGCGGCCGTTTTTCAGGGGATGCAAGCCCTTTCCGCCAGACCAAGTTGGATGACCGCCTTCATTGAAGAAATTCGTGCGGCAATCGTCCTCTTCGGTGAAATCAAACTGATCAATGAAATTAGACCTCTGACTGGCCGGTTGGCGGGCCGCGGCATTGTTGACGAAGTGGCGGCTGACGGCAGGGGCGGCTACGCCATTGCCTCCGTTTCCAGATAGTCGCGAGTTGCTAGCTCGTGCCGTAGCAGAATCGAGGACCTGGGAGGCAAGAAGGCTCACTAACAGCAAATGTCATCGCACGTTCCATGGAAACCACAAAAAATAGCAGGGATAGATAAGGTTCCTTGTGAACAGGTGTGGGCGATTTGAGTATTCGACGCTATGAAAATGGTCATCGAGCAAATTACACCGCTGAGTCAACCAAAGTGGATGAGAGAAAAAAAACTACATAGGGGTTGGATCTAATTAAAAACATCTTTGCTAGATCAAAACCGTGCTGGTGGGTCAGGGCGCGTTGTGCAAGCGCTCACCTCAGCATCAGAGGCAACAGCTCCTTAAATGGATCACCTGGGTTAGTTGAGCAAATGAATGATTCCGAGAGAGACCCTAAATGTTTTGAGCAAATGCACTCAAAGGAAGGTGTCACTCTATCTTGATTACTTCCTGCTTTCTCACATGTAAGAAGTCGAGAGGCGAGAAAGCTACTCGAGGTAGGAAATCACGTGAATAATTTGTGAAGCAAACAATTCCCGAAGAAGTGGTTAGTTGAAATAGCTTGCGTCATCTGAAATAGGTGATTTTACAACGACACAATCAACGTCACCTCAACAGGCCCTGTGCAATAACCTTGCGCTATAATCCTCAGGTGGTTACACGGCAAAAAAAAATAACAAAAGGCAGGTTCATTTGCTGAATACCGCTTCAGCTGAGTAAACCTTTTAGGCACAAGGGGGTGTATTAAAACCGATTGTCGCCCCCTTAATGGCGGAATTGTCTCGGTGGCGTAAAAGATGGTGATTTGGACGAAGCCACTTTCAAATCACACTTCGGAATCGGAACTACAACGATTCTACGAAGTAGGTCTCCTTTGACAAAGTTAAGCGATGGCTTTGAAGCTAATTGTGTACAGAACGCCTGCGAAAAGGAACGTGCTCATTCAGAAGGCACCAAATATCGATGCAGCATGACACCTACACAACAAATTCTGTCGACCAAAGACTTACGATTGCGTTAAATCTCTGTCGACGTGACCGCCAACACTCACCAGGGTCTACCAATTTCTAGGACACAGGTTTCGATCGCAGTAGGCCTACTTTCAGCTAAAGAGGTTTGACGGATAACCACGCCAGGGCAGGACAAAACACGAAAGTACTCAATATGACAGTTTGCATGCTCACTGACCAGGGAATTTAGTGACTAAAAGGACGAGGGAAGGGAAATCGTGTGTGACAAAAAAGTGAGTGCCGAGTCAGAGAGAGAGCGAGGCCAGCCGGCGCACAGGCGAGAGCGCGGGCGAATTTCAGAGCACCTGTCCGTACGGTTGCCTGACGGCGGTGTGATAAAGCAGAAGTGGACATGTAGAACTCAAATGACTGCACAGCTCACCTTCTGAAACAGCCACGAGGGAATGGTGAAGTCAGCCAGAGGCTCCCGCGTTGTCGCACTCGGCGGCGCCCCCACTTCGGCTATCCCACGAATCTGCTTGGCGAGCATGAGGAAAGCCTTCGAGCCGCAGTTGGGCAAGCGGCCGGCTCTGGCGAGCCAAACCTTGTCCTCACGATCACATGCGTACCGAAAGATCCACGGGTGTTTGGAGTAGATTCTTCCTCGAGCAGCTCCCAGTCCTAACCATCTAAAAGGCAAGCAAAGGGTTAGGAAACAATTTGGATTCCCACACATACACACAAACACAGACGCCTCCTCATTTTTCACCGACGAGGCGAAAGCGATGTGTCAACAACGTAAAACCCAGGCGCCTATCACGTGCGGCCTGGAGGAACGGATGGGGTGCAGTCGATGCTACTGAAATAAATGCAACCAGCTAACTCTGCGAGTGAACTGGGAGAATGTGGCCACCAAGGCAAAAGTTGTGTTTGTCCCACGCCACAATTTCCGCAGGACCATAATAAGTCTCGTTATCTCTGCATCAAGCGACAACAAGCAACTTTTAAATAGCCTATTCAAAAAACACGCTGAAGTGTAGGCGACAATAACAGAATCAGTGGTTACGGCTTACGTTGACCAAAAAAAAAGTAAGGACGATTCTACTGCGTGATCTTCCATCAAGCCTACAGCGGGCGAGAAGTGAAAATAGTACAGGCTTGGTGCAAAAAAACGGATAAGATTTTCCCCTGAACGGTGTGCACAAGGTTTCAGGTGAAAAACACGGACAAGCAGCGATCAGCCCTACCTATCCTGAATGCTGAACGGGCACGAAGGTTCGAGGTGATGTACTTTTAGGGAACAATGGCACAGTGAAAAGGGACTCAGCTTACCAAGGGAATCTACAGGTAAACCACCTGCACAGCAAACCAAACCAACGCAACTAACGATTGATAGGACGCGCCCCGTGAGGCCTATGACTTGATACTTTGGATAACGTCTCAAAACTACTTCAAACGCTAGATTAAATCACCAACTTTACGAATAAGATGTATGGAGGCGTAATTAGAAAAGTTTCTTTACTGGTGAGGACCGAAACGTTGTTAATTCGGGCTAACAAATTGGCAAATTGAGCATTTTCATTTCCACGCACTGTGTTTACGTATTTCTAATGCACAAAATACTAGCGATCATCAGAAATAACCAATCACCGCTGTCTTCGACGAAGAATTCAGTAGGCATCATGAATAGCTTTGTCGGGACGAACATGGTTGATGTGATCCAGAATGACAGTCTACTGAAGCAGAAAATCTCACCCTTTCTTAGTTACCGTGGTAACGACAAATGAGCTGCCGGTTCTTAGCAAAGTGATGACGAGCTTACGCAATCTGGTCAGAATTCGGCAAATTCCACAGCAATGTCCTCAGTGCGTCTCTTCAATGAGTCGGTCACGTTTGCTTAATCTCTTATGCGCAATCAACTGCCCTTTTATTCAAAATTGACGTCTTGAAATAAACCCCTTCCACAAAACCTCACCGCTTTACTGGGAGCCAATGCAACTAGAGGTGAGAGCAATTTTCAAGAGTCCAGAATCTAATCTAGTACCAAAGTTTGATTTTTCGTGACACACCCATCATGCGAACAGATCGGCAATTGACTATTCTTGCTTCCTGCTTTTTTTACGGATCGCATTTTTTATTGGCTTTGCATAAGTCAAGAGCTGTGGCTATTGCGTATGAAGCCAAATTGAATGATGCGGAGCCGCTACAGTGGGCTGTTTTTGTCTGTCAAAAGTCTATTGATGCCACCACGGGCCTGAATAACACCCTACCCTACTAGTGGAATTATAGAGTGGACAGCTACTTTACCCGTATAATATCGATGACTTTATGTTATTGTAGTAAGGAGACAAAGAGGCAAAACTGAGACTTAACTAGTGATGCTAAGAGCACGCATTTAGAGTTCAATTAATATCGTGAACGAGAAAACGAGAACGCCCCTTAGGGCTCAGTTACCACCGATAGAAAAGGAACACTTCATCGGGCACTTCTGACATCACAAAAGCACAAGGCAAACACACCCATGATTGATATGAATCTGGCTCCACCCAGCAGAAAAAAAGTGCGACGTTTTGTAAACCTACGCGTTTGCACAAGAGCCCAGAACGAAGGTGTCGGTGATGGAGAACTGGGGCGGAGGGTGACTGGCCGAGTGGAAGGAGTTCGCGGTGGTGCTACTGGGGGCTTCGGAGGGGGTGGACGAGGCTTGGCCATGGCTTGTGTTATCTGGAAGCCTACAAGGGACACACAGAAGTTGTATTCCGAAGGTAATGATTTACATCCACCATGATACCAATCAATTACCCATGGTCAAAAGCAAATCAAGATCACTAAAGTAGGGAAGCTGAGGTTAGGCATTACCGAATTGGCTCTCATGTGTTTTTTAAGAGTTGGCCTTGCTCAAGTTGAAAAAATTGGTTCAAATCACCCAGGCTGCACAAATTTATGCATGTCTCCTTCAGCTACAGCATTCCGTCTGCGTCCAAGCACTGCCATAACCTGAACGTTGGTATACCCTTTTGGTGCCCGCTGGCGTTTGAGAATACTGCTAAGTGACACGACCCATTCTCGGCAATACACCACTTTTCGAACGACTGACCTCAGGCTTAAAAAAATTGACTACCCAAACTCATAACCAGTCGTTAACAGGGGCCGAGGAATTTATAAATCACAACGAATAAGTGCTCTTATAACTCCCAATATCAATAATACCAGAATTTTTTATAAGTAGCAAATAGGAGGCGCGCTAGTTCAATGAGTGGCGTGGCAACTGGCGAGCAGAACTCAGAACTGTAGAAACTGATCTGCAGTTGGCGTGTCACGAGTTTAGCACTAGTCGCCACCACTAACTCCCAGGTTGTGACAGCTGATGATGGCGAGGGTACCTTGTACGATAGAATTCCGTCTTTCGCACCCCAGCCTATGCCAACCACGTTTTGAACTACACTGCCAGCCGACCAGAGGTGTGCGTTTCGTTTGTGGAGGCAATCAAACACCTCGTCTCGTTCAGAGGTTCGGGACAAATAGCTACTCTATTGCTCCCCAAAACTGCAGTTAAGCCGTCGTCCCTAGAACACTGTCATAACATAAGGTCACGCGTGTGGATAAGCATGAATCGAGAAGCTGTGCTGAGGAATTTTACTTTTTAGTCTAACACCTAACTCGCTACTTAAAACCGGTTCAGCAACACTAACGCAATTCACAACACACCCGCAATGCAGGTAAGTTGGCGGTTATAACTAACTGCAAGCACTCAGATGTGTGTGTATAAGTGGCTGGTACAATTCACCCAGATTTTGCTAAATATAGATGTCGCGCGATAGCCTAGCAAAATACAAACACAGTGAATCACCTCTTTGATGGCCAACCGATGCCAAATCACATGCCACTGACCAATTTGGCGAAACCAATGCAACCTCGGCAGTCTTAAAAAACAACCCCATACACGGCAACTAGGATTTGGCTAAAACTCGAGGCGTTTCGCAGCGCCGAATCCGTAATATGGAAACAATGCAAAGCTAGTGCAAGTGCAGCACCTGGATCGGTTGTTGACGCAATGTGTTTGCACATAGCTTGAACCCCGAGGTCGAAAGGCGTGGAGAGTAGCTATAAAATGTCGGAGGGATTCGTGCGTACCAAAGGGTCCACAGTGTGAATACAAAAAGGCAAGTTCAGGAAGGCATTTCCCTCCGAGAATGGTTTTTTTACATTCCCGAGATCAGTCTAAGTAGCCTGAAGAAGACTGTTTGTTCAGCGCAAACAATCACAAAGCGTGGTCTTCTAACAGAGATGTTAAATTTATGCACTTTAGCACGTAAATCGATCCAACGGAGGAATCTTACGTGCCGGTGCTTAGAAGTCGGAAAAGTACTTACACACAGTAAGTACATGGAAATCAGTGGTTTGGCGACGCTGGATTTGCACTCACACATACGCGAGTAAGGGAATCAAGCGACGCAGCAGTTAAACAGCTGAATTGAATAGACGACTATGCGAAGCCACTTGCATTAGACTGCATACGAAGATTTACATGTAGGCTACACCTGCCAGTGGTGCTGCGCGGCATCTCTGCTACTTAAAGTGCTAATAAAAGACAGTGACTACATGAGACTACAGTGTAGCGAACTCGTGACGCACAACTGCACGCACTGTGTTGTGTGCTTGGAGCGCGAAGGGAATTAAACCAAATGCCTACTTTATGGTACTTCATGGGAAAAAAAACCGACGAAACGCTACCGACTAAGTAAATGACACGAATCACAGCGGAGTTGGTAACACGTGTCCACACGAACACGCACATCCGCCTCTCAAGTTACGAGTGATTAGAGCTGCCTTTTGGGCAAGCAAAGGTCAATTTGTTGGAACCAATTGAGAAGGCGTCGAGCAATCGATTTTGTGAGGGCTGATCAGTAGTCGTTCGGTAGTTCCTGTGGCACTCTGGAACGAGATCAACCAGCAAGGTGAGTGTGATCACTAAGCCTTCCATCACCCGAGTGAATTCCCTCATGAAACAGCGAGAAATCCGTCGAAAGCAGCTACCTCGAAGCTTGAAGTGAAATTTTTGCCTAGCGCAGTACAACGCGCATGAACAGTGACTATGCGTAGAGCGTTTCAGGTGTTGTAACTCTTGGCTAGCAAGCCTCACCTGTTCTGGACAGCCCCCTGCCCGAAACTAACATGAAACGACGATCACTAAGAACACGCATCTTCCACGCGCCGTATCGAAGTCCGATTTTAGGAACCCCAGTAAGTCAAGAGGCCATGGTGCATGAATGGATCTCAAGAACTCTGCGCCAGCTACTATGGCAACTTGCGCAATCAAGGGAAGAAGAATTTAACGACTCAGCAGTACATCACCGACAGGCTAAACCAGCTTGCGGTACAGAAATAACGTGAAATAGGTTCATCTGATTTACAGACTCTGGTGGTAACAATGAAGTAAACGCAATAACTCGCAACTTCTTAAACAACTGGTAATAAGGGACAAAAATCAGGAACTCACTCTAATTCCAAGGGACCCAGCGCATCAACAACTGTCTACAATGGGAGAAAGAAATCAAACAGTCAGTTACGGAAAATTGAGAAACGCAACAGACTCACAACAAACATCACTAGTACACAGGACGACACTCTGCGCGCGAAGGGTGATCTTCTGGCATATAGACAAGCAATGCTCAAAAAAAATACGAACTTGGCAGCCCACGAGTTATGAAGATTAAGGGAAGCAACAGGTGATTGGCAGGGGCAAACACAATCCCACGACAAAATGCCAGACGGGAAACCACGTGATAATCGAAGCGCTCTTAATAATCCCTAGCGCAAATCAAGGAGAATAATCATCCATAACATCGACAAGTGGTCTTAAGGGGAAGTCAGTTAGGCCCTTGAGCTATCCACTGGAACAAGGAGTGGGCGTGACCTGTAACAAACATTCAAAAAAAACAATCTGGTCACATTTAAATTCTGTGAGCCCAATAACGCCCACTTCTGGTGTCTCAATCCAGGGTTTTAGAACGCCGTCAGTGAACAAATTGTTAATTAGTGGAGAAAAACAAATCGGGATTGAATAGGTTGCATAAAAATTAAACCGCATGTGCAGCTAGGACTGAAAACATCGAGGTGAGGGCTCGACCTACCGATGCATCGCCTGCGGGTACAGGAGAGCCATTCAAGGAGGCGGCGTTGTCCAAGAATTCAACCCTCAAAGAATCTGCCTTTTCAGCATCCAGTCGTCGTCGTTTGGCAAGCGATGCGGTTTCTTCATCTAGTGATGTCAAAGGAAAAGGCGAGCCAACTCCGTCGGCGTCCTGCAGCAGCATCAAGCTGACATTATCCGAGAGAGGGGGTGAACTGGGGGCTGCGCTACTACCGCCACCGCCCCCGCCCCCACCGCCACCACCGACGGAGTATGAGTTGCCTCCGCTGTTTGTGCGCTGACGCAGACGAGTGGAGCTGCGAAGAACGGAGCGTCGGAGGTCTGTTGTGGTAGTGGCAGCGAGTGAAGACAAGTCGACAGGTGTTCCTGTTACTGTGATGGTGGGGGTAGCCCTCGACTGAGGAGGCGGTGGGTCGAACGAAGGAACGCGGTATTGAGCAGTAGCCTAAAGGGCAGTGAAAACGGAAAAAGACAATAAAGGCCTCCTATAACCACGGCCACGGAGGACCAAAATCTCGCTTGACCTAGCCCATATTCATTCGGTCTTCTCGGACATTATCTTTGCTCGAATTCTCCCTCCAATCTCGTGCAATTCTGCGAACAACGACTCTGAATTGCACCTTGTTGCTCTGTCAATTTTGCGATGGCTTTTCGATAACATGATTTTGGCAAAGCTTTAGCACAAATCGATGTCGTCAGGTGATGGGAATGGAATTGCTTCGACGACGCACGGAATTTCGACTTGTTTTACTAGGACCATTTAGTGTTGTTTCGTAATAGTAGGTGAACACAGCGAACAACAAGACAACAATTGACCATGAAACGAAACAAAGAGGCGAAGACTTGGTGAAATTGGGCGCTCGCAGAAGGAGTTGTACACAAGCTTTGGTGGTTTATGTTAGATATTCGTCTGTAATCGAGTTTTCGCCAGACGTGATTTCGAAAATCTTAATTTCGTTTTTCTGGCGATGAATGTGAAAATCAATCTACTTTCGCTAATTAAATGTGACCAGTAGAGAAAAATGCGACTTTTTATGCGTGGGACTGACTGGATTCTATACGTGTACTTTGCATAGAGAGTTACACAGTCAACAGACGGTCTGCTAGCTCGGTATATTGGAGGCTTTACAAACTACTAAAAGGTACTTGAAAAAAAGCAAGTTTTACTCTAATTGACGCAGTCGGTAATCCTGTCATGAATGCCGGAAAAAGGCGAGGCCTGACCAATCACAGAGATGGCGTCAAATTGAACCAGTTACTTTTTGTCGAGATTTGTGCTACATTCAACGGCTGCATGTTGCTACCCGCGCAGCAGATGACTTAGCCCCAAAATTAAGCACAGCACGCTTATCACCGACAACAAAAGCACAATGAACTCACGTCTTTCATTATATTGTACTGCAGAAGCTGCAACTCATTCTCAGATACTGCTCGTTCTCCCAGATTATAGCGGATGTTTTCGATCGCGATCGCGAGGAAGTCCTAAACAGAATAGACGCGGTTAATTTGACGCAACAGACAAAACAGCCAACAACACACAATCCTCGGATCAATCAATTAAACGGGCGGAAACGTTTTAAGACAGGCGCTGTATCGTGGACTCTGGCACATCAGGGAAATGAAGTGAGCTAGAACGAGTAGCAGTCCAAGTCACTACAAGGCCATTTAGTAGTGTTAACTTGTGAAAATGTGAGGGATTTTCGTAAAGGGAGTAACGGACAATTAGAAGTGATGTAGAAGACAGTAACTTCAAATTACAAAACACAAACAGTTTTACGCCGAAATCAATGATCACTCTTGTGTGGGTTATTCTCGTGCCATGACATTTTACGCGATTTATACGAGTCTGTAAACACTGGCTATTGTGTTACAATTCAATTACCCCTGGGAGATAAGCGCAAAACTGTGTTAAAAACCTTGAAATAATTTAATTTTAAGGAAAAAACAGCTAGTTACAGACTTGCACACATACACCTGAAATGTCATGCCACAACAATCGAAGTAACTAGGCACCAGATCTTGTAAGTTGGAATCAGGCTTGAACAGTGAGACAACACGAACCAAGCGATTCGGTTGTCACGAATGAACACCAAAAAGAACACGCTATTTATGAAACATTTGTCATTAGATAAGCACACTCAGCAAGTAGCTGTGCTCAGCCCATTCGTTAATAAAAGGGCAAAAGAGGTAATCGCAAGAAAGGATTGATGCCTGTTGACTGGAAACTTTTGCATCGCCCTGAGCTTGGTTTACATCAGCACTTACGGTTAGTTAAATGTGGTGGGTAGCAATAATTACCAAAATCGGTAGAATTGGTGAAAGACAATAGTAAGAGCAATAAAAAAATTCTGCAGTCATCACATTACATGATTATAGGGTGAAATTTGCAAGGCCAGGTACACACCAGGGCGAATTAGAGCTATGACCAGGCACCTTGACATTCCTTGAAAAAAGCTTAGAAAGCTACAAAGGTACGTACGCCTGAGAAAATGAACCAATCAGGTATAAGGAGGAGGAGGAGGCAACGAACCTTTGAATACTTGCTGATGACAGCGTCAATCTCGCGATTAATGAAAGGCTGAATGAACCGTTGTAGTATTGTCAAAGCGTATACCGGATCAGGGTTGATTCCAGAACGTCTATAAATGAAAGCACAATACACCAAAATCAGACACTCAAAGATAGGGGAAAGACAAAGCTGTGAATTGTGTCTTCGGTTTCAGGTACCACACGTTCGATACATAATTTAAAGGTTCGTGAAATTCAGACCCGTGCACGTCATTCGCGTGCACTTGCGAAGTCTAGGGAAGATACAAACTAAGCCAAATAAGTCATCAATGCGCATGTTTTGGTTAGTATATTTAGATGCGCACTAAATCACGGATGTTCTTTGTCATTTCCTAGAACAAAGTTTGTTAAAGCTGATACATAATTAAGAATGCAAAGTTGCAATGTTGAAATGCAGCAAACATGTACCCAGTAGATGTGACATACCTGATCCGTTTTTCAAAAGCTCGACTTTTTTTGTGCAGGTATTTGGGAAAATTCAGCATATTTCGATATCGCATGTTTAGGTGGGAGGTGGACTAAAAAGTAAAATATTGCCGAAGGAATAAACGATATGATTCAGACACAAATGGTGCAATAGTTCAATTATCAAACGTAACATCAAAGGGAAATGTAAGAGTGAATTCTGAAGTACTTGATTTTGTGATTTTAAGTTATACCCCAAAACATTAATAATATGTAATAGATACTACTACAAGAGCTTACAATTGTCGGAGTGGGAGTAGAAGGGGAATCTGGATGCATTTGCACGGCGAAGGGTTCAGTGGTTTCACCCGCACTCGCAACAAAATCACTAGTAACGTCCGACCTACTGGCGTTCAGGAGGGACGTTATGGGTGACGCGTCGCTGGCAACTGATGGATACATATCCTCGGTTTTGGGAACAGGATAATAATGAAGATCAGGCTTGGTGTTCAACGGCGGAGTCATAAATGTATTTTGAGGAGACAGGGAATTAAATTGTAGGAGGTCCTTGTTGAACTCTGCAGACATTGTCAACAGAAATAGTGGTGCATTAATGGTCTAAAAAACCGAATAGGTAAGTCGAACGGCGTAAGGAAACAGGTTCGACGCTGAAAATACACGAAAGAGTAATGCAGCGAAGACATGACTATTGCGTAAATAACTTCGGTACAGTCAATAACAATGCGAGAAGATATCATTATTCTAGTGAAAATCAAAGTTTGAAAAAAATCGGATTACGAGTTGTACAATTAAAATAAGAGTTATGGACAGAACACCACAATTGAAGATCACTTATTTTACGAAAAGGCGCATTACAAGACACATGAAAACGCTGAACGCATAGAGTAGTGTTGACACAGTCAAAGAGTCAGTAGTTTAGCTTATCTTGGCTAATACATACTGCAAAAATATACTACGAACTATCCAGGCCACGCATTTTAAGCATGCCAAAGTGTCCGCCGAGCAAAAAACAAAAAAACCTCGGAAACCAATTCTTAAAGAAAAGTCGTGTAGTGAATTTATGCAGGTCCTATTACCCCAAATACTTGTTCAACAATGAACAGATGACTAATTACAAGCCCAAAACCCTATGTTTCCACAAAACATCGTGTGAGTAAATCAGGTGTATTATCAGGCACACTTAAAGAAAACAAATTCTAACAACGCAAAATGTGAGAGACTCGAAAAATTACTGTAAACTAACTCCCAAAAGCTGTCAGGTGATAAAACTACAAAATACGATCCTTGGACTGTCCGCGGTTATTGAAACAACTTAAACAAAGCAAGCCGCATTATTCGATTTGGGCGTTTTATTGCAACTTAAAATAAAATGCTAAATTTAATGAATTATTGGAGTAAAATTATTTTAATTTACCTATGACCAATTTTATGTTTATGTCACTGATGCGACATTTCTGACTAAAATTTTACCTTTATTTTCATGGATAAGAAACAATTATGTTTACAAAATGCACAAATTCCTTATTTATTTAGTCATATAAAATTTCTTCAAATGATTTAAAAATGAAGAAGATTGAAAGATAAATTATCTTTTCTTTCATGTGTGACAACTGTTCTGAAAACTGGCGGACATTTGTCTGAGCTTTTGGTCCTCCATTTTCTTTGCCACATTATGCTTCTGCTCCCAGACACATCTGGATTTCCAATAAGTTGGTTATAAATGACATTTTGGATCCTGTTGTGTCCTGACTACAACGAACACTCTTTTATCGTAATAAAAGTACAAAATTCTCACTGATTTTAAAGTTGTGATCTTTTAGCTTCAACGTTGTTTCATTGCTCAGTTAGTCTGATCCGTTCTCAAACATTCCTTCTTAATGCCCTTATCGAATTACATCTAAACATGTGGGTCGAAATTGACTAAATGCAATCTTTTTATCGATCCTGCAATTTTATAAAACTTTAATCTGCTGATTTTTTGAGCAATTTCTGTTTCAAGATTCCGTCTTTAGCTAAAATAATTTAGATTGCTTTTGATCAAGTTATTTTGCTTCCCTACGTTTTATTTTCATTCGTTTATTCTGTCAAACTGGGTGTCAATTTTTGTTGAGTAAACTCGACAAAAAAATTAGCTTGTAATTTACTTAATACAATTGAAATATTTGCCCAAAATGAGGATCCAACATCTCTAAACCATTCACTTTTATGCTTTTGGGTTTGCTCAGCATTTTATCATTAATAATTTAGAAATTTAAAATTCATCAACTTTTGTGGGGTTTTTTTAAAGCATGTTTCAGTAATTACGGCGTAAACTCCTTTGTAACTTAAATCATGCTTTATCTAATGTGAAACTGAACTTTTTTTGTGCTGATATTACTGATAATGTAGAACGAAACATTTTGCACACGTAACTTGCGTTCTAGTGAATGATTCGTTAAATGGATCTTTTAATTCCAAAAATATTTGTAGGCAGAATTAGATGGTCTTCACTAAGCCGTTGTATTTATTTAACGTAGGTAATACACGAGCATTATGTGTAAAGAGTTAATTTTTGTTATTATAGCAAAGATAGAGCTTACGAGACTTCCTACTGACCCTCCCGACAAGATGCACGTGTGTTCGCCCGACCATCTCGTTAATTTTGCGAACCACCTTTATGTTAATAGTCATCTTGCGTTTCTAAAGGGGTTACAATTAAAATCTATAGCGATTCTAAATCTTTTTTAAATGAGATAAAAATGGGATCACTGTTATTTTTTTCATCAAAAATGTCAGATAAAGTGAGTTGCCATGCGCCAAGCTAATCAGTGAATAATTTACAACTCATGAATAACAGAAAATCCAAGCACCATGTCAATTAATCTTTTAAACCCTACACAATCAACTTTTAACGACGAGCACCTAAAACAAGTCAACTTCTTCCCGCGGGATTAGCATTCTAGTTTTCTTTTGTTTTTAAATTTTGTTAATTATAGCATTCGCTTAATTGGTTATCCAGATTCAAATGTGAGAAGAATTCAAATGGTGACGGAAAATGGGGTTATTATGGAACTCCCATTCACACCGGAGCAGCTAAATGCTGATGCCCTTGACACTCGATAAAACACAGCTACCATAAACATGGAAAGACGAAAGACTTCGGCGACTCAGTAGTTAGATGGACCGCCGAGGTTTGGCAGGAAACAGCAGTGGTATTAGGAGCTACAGCATTTAAGCACAGAGCACTCCACCCTTACTTGTTTATCATCATAAATTGCTTCTTAATGAGCTTTTAACATTGAGTTTTCTACATTCCTACGTTATTCCAATGAATGCTACCAGCATATGTGCATCAATAATTGAGTCTGTACCCAAGATCCATCATAGTTTCGTCAACTTCTTACCGGCTGTTTAGGTTATGACCGCTTTGCCTTACACGTTTCTTTAGGATTTGACATAGGCCTCAGCACTTCAGCATCCCTCCTACGCTCTTAACATGTTTTTGTCTACTTTAAACTCAAACTCAACGGTTAGGCGAGTATCCCTGAAACGTTGCATGGCAGTGACAAAGAACGAGTATTTTATGGTTCAGTAATTGTGACGAAAGAAAGTGTTACTTGTGTGCAGTCATCAAATATCTGGAATCAAAGTATGCGTGTGCTCAACGCATGCGATTCTCTTCAGCAATCTGACACAACACAAATCACCTTACACCACCGAACAGCCCCCAAGGTGGTTCTTCATGACTCCTTGATTTCAGTTTAATTAATCATGTGAAACCACATGGTGTTTACGTTTATGCAGATGCCCGATCACACGTGCAAGGTTGCAAAAAGGCACAGTTAAGGTTGCCAAGTCTAAACTAAACGATGGCTGCACGTCCCTTAATAGGACAATGGCATCCGATGCAACCACGGCGAAAACAACCGTAAAAAAGTTTGCTTCTGCAATAATCTGCGCAACTGAGATTAATGACTGTAATTAATTTCGCGAAAGACTACTTCAGGTAGTGAGTTAAAGAAATAGGGAAGTAGGGTTTCAGCAGAAATATTTACTCCATACAATACATAAGTTTAAATTAGGAATCTAATTTCGCATTGCGAAGTCGTGTACAGGACCTAGGGCTATGCTAGCAATGCTTTAGATATGCGATGGTAGTTTTGTATCTAGATCTACACATAGCAAAAAGCAAGCACTCTTTCATAAGCTGCCATAGAAATGGAGAATTTTTATGAAGCATGAAAATTGAATGCCCTTTTTGATGCACTCAGATTTACTATCGCCATATGTAACAGCTTAGGTCCCACATAACATCCTTGGGACCTATCTGGCTCCTTGCATCAAGTTTGAATTAGCCCTTAACGCATTAAACGCAGTAAAATGGTCTTATTTGGTTACCTCCATGTCGTTTTGTTACAACCAGGTGTCTAAGATGTCATAAAAAGCAGCTAAATGTTGTCCTTTCCGTCGCACTGTCTCAATATACGGCTGAAAGGGCCTTCGGTTCAGCCTAAACTATATGATTCACAACTGCGGTAGTTATTAGATTCCAAGCCTGGATTTGGCAGCTCTTATGATGCAAGCGACTCTCCCAAATTTACAACCTTCGGCTCCAACTCACGTGACTTCCGTTTATTAAGGAACATTTCTGAACTGTACGCTACTCTCCGTTGTGGATAGCTTTTGAGGCTAAGGTGAAAGCAATAAAACGCATTTCGGGTGGGTAGTAAGTAGACATGTCGTATTTATCGCTTATATTTTCTCTATCTTCTCCAAATTCAAAGTCCCACAACGTGTCTAGCTCTTAGGTTTTACTAACAGTTCGCCAAAATGTTTTATGCTATGTTATCGACAAATCACATCAAAAACCTTTTCAAAACTTCCATATAAGTTCATTAACGTAGCCGTGATCTGAAGATTTTCTTATTTTCTGGCCTTTAAAAAGCATGTTTTGGGGCCATTTACTCCTGTTAATGTTCTTTAAGCCACGATAAACCATCATTTATTGATTATGTAATTGCAATCATCTGTTCGAAATGAATTTGGAAGATAAGTGTTTAAAAGAGAAACAGGATAATCTGGTATCGTGTTGCCAATCTAGTCAATCAATCAAACATGTGATTGGACGAAATTTTAAAGTAACTTCTCGTACTTGTGTACTCTGACTGGGTGCTCTTAATTATTACATGCAGTAGCCTGCCTTACCCTATGTTGTTGTTTAATTAGTGATTACACAGCTACCCACACATAATCGAAATTAAGTATATTCTGAAGCAATAGTTTCTTCAGAGTAGTTTGAAATCCTTTTACTAGTTTCATAGCAAAAGTGCCCTCAACAATTAGGAAGCCAATCTAAGAACCGTATGGACATCTGTTAAAAGAGAACTCACGGTCACGACTGAACGATCCAGTAAGCTGTTTTACTTGAGGCTTTCGAAAAATAGCAATTTTCATTATATAAAACATTCTGTTCTTTCATAGCTGACAAGTAATTTGGTTCACACAAGGTAATGACATTATTCCGATTTACAGACGTTGCCTACAGCTGTCCAATGATAATGTGACGCAACATCTTTTTTGGAAATGATGCCAATCCAAGCACTGGCTCAATATTTCCTGCCATTTTGAGCTCACGGGATAAGTGATCTTTCCATGTGGGGATCTTCGATTCAAATGACTTGTGTACTGCCTAAATTAAAATTGCATTAGCTTCTTTAGAAGTAACGCTAACTGAGTGGTTTTGGTGGCCTTGCATATGCAATCCAAGCAGATTTATCCTCCTGAGCATTGGTTTTTTTCGCGGGCAAACTGCACTTAATGCAACTTTGTGTTGCAATAAGAGGCATTAAAGGTGAGCGAAATTTTACATAATAGCCTTTTAAAGTAGCAGCAGTTCAGTCAGGTATCGTTGTTATTGACAACGTACTTTGCTTGTTAACTTTGTCAGCTGGATATCATGAATGTTAAGACTTCGAAGCGAATAAATTGGGGGTCTGGAAAGAGGATGAAAAACAGTGACGACGAAGGACCCAAACGGCTGACATTTAAATCAACGAACAAGTCACAATAATCTCAAGAACGCGAACCTCACATAGGTGACCTACTCCCCAACAAAATCTTTCTTAAGTCCATAATCGAATTTCCGCAGTTGTGTACAAGACATCAAGGGCTTCAGTGAATAAAGTACTCAGATATCTACAGAGGCATCTTCTTCTTAACCCCATTAGTGGTCCTGTTAGTCGTATTTAAGGTCGGAGACACTTTGCACATTTAAAATGACAATAGAATAGTCATTTGTCTTAGGGAAATGTCAAATTTGTAGTCTTTATTTATCAGGTCAACAGGATTCTACTTTAACATGGAGCTTCATTGTACCGTAGTTATTTGCAGTCGATTTCAACGCAAAATAGTAGAACACAAAAGTGATAGCCTGACGTTGCCACCCATCAAGCCATTTCAACTGGTACCAATACCTGCATGAAGGCTCGATTCGCGATGCAAAAGAACGGGTGGTGAATCTGTCTCGGGAAAACGAAACAGCTGACACTAGCGCAGTCGGAGACTGACTGGGTAATCCACCGGCCGTGGGCTGATTTAAGCAACTTATGGTATTTTCTCATTGGTTCGAATGTCTACCAATAACGAGCTTCTTCTCTGTCCTTAAGTAGTTCGATAAGCATTTATAGTCCTGTGTTGGAGTGGCCGGTGCTGAGCAATTAGTATTGTCGGTGGACTATCTACCGTTTCCCAAGTAATGGATGTAAAAAAAGAGCCCATAAAAGATATTTACCTTCCTGGCAAGTGTTTTTTTTCGTTCTGCTAAAACAATACTCTCCTTCTAGTTGACGGAGCTCAAAACATCTGGATGTATATGACGATTTTGGTGCTGACCATGTTCATTTACTTCGTTTTCAAAGACATTAGGACTATATGGTGAGCTGCATTCTACCGGTTTACCAGACATAGCCTCTTAAATTTCTCAGTTAGATATAGGCTCCGGAAATCCCAAGTGCTTTTGCCTAGTTGTAATTCTTCCAGATTTATGATACATCCGGAAGGGATCCACAGTTAGCAGCAGGCTGAATGTGGGAAGTAACTAGTCTAAGTAAGGCTTCCTTTGGTAAAAATTTAAATTGCTAGCAGGATGTGAAAAATAGGGCATTCTTGATTCTAGGCAAACAAATGTTAAGAAGCACTGTCAAATCGCACAGCTTTCAAAGATTTTGATTGGCTAAAAAATAGAAACAGGCATTCATGAAATCGAATGGCCAGTGTGCTTTAATCGGTGTTTATTATTATGCTTCACTGCAACTACACAAATTGAGAACTGGAAGCAGTGGCTCAAAGTGCAAGCTGCTCTACGCATTTTAAATAGTTCCATTGCTAGTGGAGCATTAGTGGCCAGAAGCGTAGAACCCAGGCTCATTCAACTTTCACTTCAACCATTAAATGACGTCAAAAAGAATTGTGCATCCCTTATTTTTCCATTTTTGACCCCGTTTCCCACATTTGATGACACCTTTAACAACAAAAGCTATTCATCTTTTTACCACTAAAAAGCTTTGATTTTTTTAAATACAAATAGTCTTGCACACAAAACCAATCAGCGACAATTGGGGCTTCGGTGTCATCAATCAATTTCTGGTCCAATTTTTAGATGATTAGCGCAAAAAATTTAGGCTTTATACACTTTCAGTGACTGTCTGACAAGATTAGCAAAGAATTGGTGGTTACTTTACACATCCTGATAAGATTTTCGTTCAACACTGACTCAATTTCAACGCCTGGTGCGATACGATAGGTATAAACAGGTTTGTGAGTTGAATTAATGTGTGCCTTCATATAGCAATATGATGCGGAGATAGTTTGCAATTCCTACTTTCCGATTGAACTTTTTAAATTATTTACTAGACGTGATGTTCAACGTCTTGCTCAACTGTAGCTTGTGCCTTTTGAATCAGGGAATGCAAATAATGCCAGCGGATGCTTTTCAGGAATGAGGCACCGAAGCGAGGAAGGCGCTCCTTGCTCCGCCAGATGTATTTGGCGAATTCCAGTGGAGCTAGCGGACCACACTTCGAGAGAGTTCGAACCTGCGCGAGCGACGTAGGGAGAGGAGTCAACGCGGCACTTCAGCTGGCTTCCACCTCCAATTCTGGCTCCGAATCCGCGCCATTACGCAGGTGCACACCGCCGAGACGACCTTCGCTAACCCGTGAGAGGCAGAAACTTGAAATCCCGCTCGCTACGCAGCCTCCTTGTACTCTCTGAGTGTGTTCGCTTATTTTGTTCGTGTCTTGATCAACAACCCATATTTGACATTCCTAAGCTTGTGTTAGGGGGATTTCTGACTTATGGCAACTATGATTTCTTGAATATGCTGCTTGATTTTTTGAAAAACAATAATGTGATAGTAAACCATTTTTCAAAAACATACTAAGATTCACTGAGCGACATTACTGATGGTGAGTAGTATATCAGGCTTAAAAACACGAGAGTGTTGTGTTGTCTTACGCGGCATCAGTTTCGTGATGAACCAAGGGACGCGTGCGAAGAAATCACGATTATCGCTGATTACTGGTTAGGCTTCGTTGGGTTTCTTACGGCAGCTGAGCCGAAAAGTCTTAATTGTTTTGCGACTTCGAACGCAGCTTGATTTGTACATTGAGTGCCAGCGGAGCGTGGTTGAACGCATCTTCTCACTGCGTCCCCGAGTGGCATATTTTTGTGCAATGAGGAGGTAATGGCCTAATGGAATGGTGGAACATAACACGCTTATCTTAACTCAGTACATGTCTAATGTCCGGAATCAATAAACATAATTTTACAAGCTGTCCTACCCTTTAACCTAGTGAAAATCTTGACAAGTGCCAGGAAGGTTCTTCAGTATAAAAAGGGCTGCTACCATGTCAAGAAATCTGCTACACCCTAGTGGTCGCGACTTTGCTAGTACATTCATTCGTTGTCCTCGAATTTGAATTTTCAGTCATAAATTACCCCACCCCTTCCACAAATTGCCAGTTAGTAATTTAGTAGTTATAGATTACGTTCTTTAAAATAATCCCACAAGTCCACGCTTCAGACAGTTCGAAGCCTGCTGAATAAACAAGTTGGTGCAAACTTAACAGATCAAACTCATTCGTAGACAAAGAGGGAGAAAGCGCCAATGTCAAGCTGCCCGGTGTCATCCCTGTGTCCTAACAATTGGAATGAATTAACATGCGCAAGTGAAATCCCTTCATAAGTGTGAAATTGCAAGATCAAATGTTCCTTCATATCTGAGACATGGAATGTCTGTGATAATGTCTCATGCCATAACTCCTGCCTAGGGAAACGCAGCCACAAGCGACACTAAATGGGAAAAGGTTATAAAAGCATCACTTTATTCATGTACCATTTTCGCCAAGTTATGGTGATCTGTGAAGGCAGCAGGCGCTCTAAAGATTCTCTGTTTGTGTCAGACAACTCTGATCGTGGTGTCTTGCTTACACTGCGAATTGTCTAATGGATGTAAGCAAACATTAATTATTCTTGAAAGAGTTACGAACCAATGGAGTAAAATTTTATTGTACGATCTTACAACACATGTTCAAATGCACACGGTTTTTTCAACATCCAGAGGTAATGCACTTCAATTCCTATGATTGCATTTAAACTACCATTTAGCCGTCAGTCAAGCCTTACTGTCCTGCGTTTGCAAATGCTTAAAACCCCTGGACATTGCCGTCGCAGATCCCATTGAATTTCAGTCTAGACAAATATTTTCCCAGTCGTCTTTATTAACCAATCCTTGATGAAGTATTTGACCTTGAATTCTACAAGGTTCCTCATCCTCTGCACCAAGCAGGCTTATTTACTGGGCCGACCGTTTTGTGGGAAAACAGCCCTTGTCGGCTATTGCAAAGGATTTCCCCTTGTAAATTAAGAATGTATGGGGCTACACATTTTGCTTATGCATATTACCAGATTTGTCCACAATGTGAGTCATAAATTGCAACAAAAATAGAATATCTTTCACTGGCCACCCTCACGGCTAAGTAGCATAACCATCAAGTTAGTTAGATCCCTCAAGTGTTGTAATGAACCCTTTTTCGATAACACTTTACTCCAACTTTTATGGTTTATAGTGAGGTGTCACACACCTTAGAATGTTCAAACTATGGTAGGTTTGAAGCCTGATTTCACGTGCATCAGGGCCTTTCATGCCTTTTCAATGCGAAGACTCTGGGATTTTTAACATCTTTCTACTTAAACTAACTCACGTTTAGTAGAAACTCATCTATCCAGCATCAAAGGTAACCGCCAGAGCACTCCAATAGGAATTTGAAAACAAAACTGATACGCGATTTTCTTCTTTCTTGATAATAACAATAACCTTTCCTAGTCAATTACTTCCAATATCGTCGATTCCCACAACCAGAATTAAGGAGCATAGATGATTAGACATTTGGATTTAGGTATTTATTAGCGAGTTTCGGAGCAAGCTGTCGATGGATTTTGTAACTAATAAATTCGGTATCACCAAATTTTTGCAATCTGGAGCCGGTTCGTTGAAACCCAGAAGAAATATGGACAAGAGTTAATTCACCCGCATGGCGTGGACGCATTAATGGAATGCTTTGTGCAACTGTGGGGATTTGAGTGCATTAACCAATGGCGATTTGAGGGTAGACGTCAGAAAAACAATTTCGCTTTAATTCGCATGTTCAGGCAAGTTTCAACGGGTGAACCTCTGCTGACAAGTAAGTACTGAGCAAAGTTATTGCGACAAACGGGTTAGTTCTTTACAATGCTCGGTAAATTAAATTAACTGGCAACCTGGTTTCCGAGCTTTTACTTAACAACATTGACGAAGAAACTACACAAGCAGAACCCAGTCTGCTGATTGATTTTTCGGAATGCCAAACACAATACACCTATTATACTTTCAAGTGTAAACAGCAAGTAACCTTCCTACTCAACTCTGGTTTCTTAAAAGAACATCCACAAGAAGCTCATTGACAGGCCTAATGCACATATCATTATTTTAGCAGAGCCTGCATTTTAGGCGTAAACTAGGCGTCGTTGGTGCTCTTTTGATGATCCTAGCATGACGCAATTTAACCCCTTCATTTAGCTGTCACATTTGCTGAGTTAGCACAAGGCGCCAATGACGCCAATCCACAACTTCGTGTAATTACTTGAAGTAAAATAGTAAATGAAGTACGACGTCAAAAACGGAAAGGCTTCACTAACTGTACATGCCTCTCATCACCATAGTTACTACAAAAATGAAGAAAAGTAATACGCAACCATGTCTTATCACGTGATCGTAAGGCCATGTTGTGGGTCTAGCCACACGCATGTTTACGTATGGGCGAGGCAATAAAAAATGGGTGCTGGAATCACAATTTCGACAACGAAATTCAAAGCACACCTAGAACCTTAGGCTTTTGAATTCCAACTTACGCCTCAATGTCCTTTAAAGCATTGCACCTATCCTGTGGCATTAAGAACAACCAGAGGCGTCAATCCACAGCGAAGTGTAAACACATCAGTAGCAGAACAAACCGATTAAGTACATCTCTAGCTGCAACCGGCCAGTTTGCTAGTTAATTGTTTATGGCATTGTAAATCGACGCCGGAATGTAAATTTAAAAAAAAATGTGTTCAAAGTTAATTAGATTATGGCCGTAAGCGCCGCCTGATTAAAGATTCTCTTTGCCATTAAAAGGCTTTAGGCATCTATTTTAATTAACATGAAAGTATTTTGCTAACTTGGCATTGTGCAATTAAGTGTTGGTTGAATTTCTGGAGTTCACGTTAGGAATTTTGCATGAAGCATAATTCGATTTAGTTCCTTCCCCAAACAGTGAAAATGGCTTGCTTTTCCGACCACCTTTATCCGACAAGCAGGAGATTCGCGTCAAAGATAACGTAGAGAGCAGATCGTCAACTTAGCCAAATCATTAGATAATACAGTAGCTTCCGGGTGGAGAAAATCTAGCCACGTGCAGGTTTCTTAGTAGACTGGTGAAATATTATACACTTTAAATTGTTGGAACCAGCGTCTACACAAATTTGCTAATTAGTCTTGGCCATAGCAACCAATGAGCAACCGCCGTGCAAAATAAACCAATTGAAAGATGGCACTACAAACCAGCTGCGGTCGGCCAGAATGTAAGCATTCCTCGCTGTGATAGATTATAGGTGCCAAGTGACTCAAAACAAACCGAGAGGACATTCTAAATTTGCTGGATTTACTCATTCGTTTATTTTTGCCTGGATTGTGTACCGCTGTTTTCGAAGGTAAAATGCAAGTAAGTGCATTTCTTACTTTTCGCATCGATATTTTAAGTTTTAAAATGAAAACACAAGCTAATTAACTTGAACAATTTATTTTGTGAATTTATACAGTTAAACTTTTATTAAGGGATAAATTGTGGTGGTCATCAAGGGCTACTGTAACCAACGGAATCTGTTTTAATGAAGTTATTTATTACAGTTTTCTAATAGCTAAGTTATCCAATGCTAAAGTTATTATTTACGAAAAGATAAGTTCAAGATTGCGGTAAAAACAAGTGGACTTGGTGCACGTTTCGACAGGGTACCAACACCAGAAGTGCCCTTGAGTATAAAAAAACATTTTTTTCGACGTTGCTTTACTACTTTTAAAAAGAGTGGTGTGAAACTAAAATCATTACTGTTGCAAATTACAGTGCACAGGTTATTAGACAAAATATTGCATTGGTTCAAAAACATTTATACAGCCAGATGTTTCTCAGGAGAAAAACCAACTCCGCATGAATGGAGCATTTTTTTTCGTGGACAGCTTTCCTGATACAGAAACCATCAAACCCATTCTGAGTCGATTTTTTTTAAACCCAAAGTCATTCCGAGTGCAACTTAATCGTTTTCAGATGATTTGAGGTTTTGGGTGATGCTGCTTTTGCCTAATTTCGCGTCAGTAAAGCACCCACCGTATATTGAAGTACGTTTCAGCCACCACGGATCGTATTCACGCATAGTTATTCGGGTGAAACAAGGTGTTTGAAAGATATGAACCACTCGTTCACTACCAATTACATTGCAAATCATTCTAAGGGTGATACTCACATAGCTAACCCTCGAAAAAGTGGTGTTAGTGGCTTGAATAGTGCATTGAAAGGGGTGTAGTGTTTGAAATGTTTTTGCACCAAACAAGAGGTTGCGTTGGCTTTGTCGCATCGTTCCCTGATTCATGCCTATTCGCGCGTGACTGCCCTCTCTTTAAACATTATGAATTTTCATCCTGGTTCCCGGGCTGCCTAAATTTCAAAATTTGTGGTCTAGTAAAGACAACAATAAATTATTCGTAAAATCAGCTAACTGTTGTCACAATGGATTGGTAAATAAATTTTAAAAAACCCCAATTTTTGAAGATTCGATATTGGAAACCGCACAACTCAAGGACTTCGCGTGATTGACATTATTGGGAAAAAATGTGTATTTTGCTGTGATTTGTGTAAAAAAGGGCGTACAGTGAGCCCACTAATATTGGATGATCAAAACATGAGTGCCGGACTTACAATTTATTTTGAGTCCACATGTAGTGACATTAGTCAAACAACAAATGGCAGAGCGCTGTGGTTTTGCAGGCACTAAAAAGTAAATGCCAAATGAGTTAAGTTTTACTACAATCCAAACTGATTTCTCTGGAGGTTGTCTTTAGATGCTATTACCACAAGAGAAGCTTTTTAAAAGTTTTAAAGAACTTATGCAGCAGCTTCAATTAAGAGTTGCTCGATATAAAGCATTCAGGACAGTCCGTCAAGGTGACATATCGGTAAGCACCCACGGAATTGACACACACCTGATGCGAACCACAAAGTGGGTTTTGGGGATCACCGTGTTTCGCTTCCTCCGCACACTCATCGATGTCTGCATTAAAATTAGAAGTTCATAGCATCAAGACTGTATTCCAAGCCAATCCACCAAATTGTCAATCAAAATATCTCCTAACATCTGCTGATTTATTAGAAACGAGTGGGTTCGTGCTTGGCTAGAACATATCAATTAGGATTTCGCTCTTCTGAATGCGCCTCACACCACCTTCCCACTTTACTGGACAACTAATTTCAACCCTCTGCAACCGCAGAGGCGTGTAAAAGTGAATCAGCGCAAATCAACGGAGAGAAGAGGCCTGTCGAGTGTGCGCTACTAGTTTAATGACGAAAATGTGGCTCAAGCAAATAGTAAATAGTTACCACAGGATTTCTGAATAACTGAAAGGAGCGCTGCCAGTGACAAGACGCCAAACAGTCGACAGCATTCACTCTCATTTGCACACACCCACATAAACCAGGGGTGTGATGCTGTAGTCACCGAAATCGAATTTCCAGTTAGTCTTCAATGGTTTATGTGTTGACAATCAGATGAAGTAGGCACAGAGGTAGTTCATTCACTAATTTTGGCTCCTCATAGATGCAGGCTGTAATGGCACACACAGCCACCACATTTAGTCATTCTGAGGCATCGTGATAACCTCCTCATTGGAGACACGATTGACCAATGAACTCTCTACTCACTTCGATATGCGTCTATCAACATGCGGCTGTGCCGGCACATTTCGTGAAATCACTGCCTATCTTACTTCCGTTTATCAACAAACGTTTGAAGAGCTTGTGGTATGAAGGTACAGTGACTCACCAACGCATTCTGCTCCCCGGTGTTGAAATCCTGCTGGACACACGCATTTTCCCAGTGTGTAGTCATACCTACACAGTACACAAGTCATCATCACTGCTCTTAAAAGCAACAAAACCAATGCCAATTTGGAAGTATCCCCTCAGTTTGAAGTGAGCTCGCATCTGAAAAGCAGCTAGACTTTGTATGTTGGTGTGGTCGACTAAAGCAGTAAATCGTCGCCGGTGCTGCATTTGTGTGGCAGGCGTATTCGGATGTCAGCTACCGGTGACGGCGTCCACGTTTCAGAACAAAGTGGCAACTTCTCATGTATTTGGCTGTAAAGACCTTGTTTAAGATACCTGTGTAAACGTAGATTCGGCCCAATATCGCACCTGCCACGAGTCTGTGCTTACTAGTTAGTGAGATATGTTCGGGTCGACTGAGGCTACATTTGTCGGGCCTTTGTCAAGTGAAAACACTGTACAACATACTTGAAGTAAAGTGCATGTTAACGCTATGACCGAAACTGCCTGTCAGATGGAGGTGAGAATGTAGACAAGTCAGTCGAAATTCGACAGATGCAGCTGCATACCTCTCAGTGTAGTGACACGGTGAATTCTCGCACTTGTAGGAGCCCGGAGTGTTCACACATATTTGACCATGGCGACAGTTGAAGGCCTTCATCCTGCACTCGTCCACGTCTAGAAAGCACAAAACACACCACCGGGGACCACAAGGCTTCAACCCACAAACCACTCATTTGAATTTCCCATATTATTTGCAAATGCCTCAATTGGTTCACATCACATTGCTTATGGTGAAAGCAATAGCATAAAGTGTTGATTTATGATCTATATCAGATTTGACGTCGCATTTTACGCAGACAGCAGTTCCATTGATCATGTGTCACGGTAGCCTCACGTGTTCAGGTACGTGAGATCTGACCGACCACCGAAAACCCAATGCGTTTTCATGACCTTGAATTCACAGTCACTTTGTGCGTTATTATGGCAAACGTGTTCAAGTTGTTAAATCATGTTATTTCTTGGACAAGGTACTGTGAAATATGTGGCATTTACCTTAGATTCCTCGAAAGGTTGGTGATAAAATATACCTAGACTTTTTAACTGCGTTAATGTCTGTGCTTACGTTTTCACCAACGGAGCTTTTTCAATCATTTTACGAAGCACTGTTGATTAGTGTTCGCGTGTCAATCTCTTTAATTAAACTCGAATTTAATCCGACCTCTAAAAGACAATGTGCATTAAGCTGGAGTTATTTAACTAATTCCCCCCAATCACACATGAGTAGCTATCAAACCGGTGGCATACACCCTGCTAAAGGAAGACTTTGTCGAATCTGCGAGGACACCGCATCCTTGTCAAAGCTAGCATGCTCCGAATTGTCTTGGTTCTCTGTTCCAATCAAACCTACCTTCGCAAGCAGATCCTTCGGAGTTGAGTTGGTAGCCCCATTCACAGCGAAGCTTCGGTTCGCAGATGTAGTCACCAGGTCGGTTTGTACACTTCTCGAAGGGTCGGCATATGGTGGAATTCATTTCGCACTCGTTGATGTCTATGCTTGGAAAAGAAGAATTAGGACGGAAATTGGTGGGGTTGGTGAACACATTGAGCTGTTTCGTTGACACAAGTCTATTCCACGTTGCCATGGTCATAGGAGTGTTTATTCCGCTTAAATCCATCGAAACAACGATAAGGCTAAGGCTAGCTTTTTGAAAGCCCGTGGATCAAGCAGAACGCTTTTGTCTGTTTCGCTTTAACTAACCTTCACACACATGACCACGCAAGCTTGGGCTCAGTATAAACGGCGCATGAAAAAACTGCTGCAGTCTATTGCAGTAGCATTTCGTTCCTTCTCTTTTTTTACAAACATGTGTCTGTAGCATCGTATAGAAGCTCTGCTGTCTGTGTGATGTCTTACTTAGATGGAACTAAAGGTCATAACGAGGCGCCCTGATTTCGCCATTGTTGACGATCTTATTCGTTCGAGAACAATTTTATTATCTTGACAATCGTCTTCTTATACAGCATTGTGCACACGCCTATCCACTACGTAGATAATTAGGTCTTTTGTTCTCAGTGTTACTCCTTTCCTCATACAGGCGTTAATTCCCTACTCAACAGTTATGTAAGTAATCCGCGTGGTGGGCACTGGCAATATTGAACATGTCTTTCTGCCTGAGGACGATCAAATCTTGCTAAGTTGGAGAAAAAGGTTGCTCCAATCACCTCAGCTGCCAGTTATATCCAATCCGCTTAGTAGCCAGCTGAGGTAGCACAAAATCAGTAACAACACCAGTCGTGCTCCATTTTTACACTGAAAATCCCGAGTCGAGTCACAACAAACCGTAAATGCCTGTAAAAGCCCAGTATTTATCAGCAATAGAGCGAGATGAATGAATAAGTAAGGGAAGGCGATTTCTACCTTCGCAGCTGTTACGTTGTTCGTTAAAACTGTATCCTGTCGGACATGGGGCACATTCTCCATTGGAATTTCGCCTAAACAAAAATGTGAATGGTCAAAACGCTTAAAAAACACCATCTTCTAAGAGTGACCATTCTGCTATCTTTATCATGGCAATTCGAATATTATCCGCCAGACAAATGCATTCCAACCAATAAAAAAGTTGACAGCAGTTTTCGCTGAATTTTCTACGCTGTTGAAGAGCTGGTAGTGACACAGCTCGCACTACAGACACGCATTCATAAATACTTTTTAGCAATCGCATTGTGCGCTTTTTGGTGTGCTTGTTGACATCAAAGGAATCCACGTCCGCGGTGTTGCAGAAGTTTGGCTCTGTACCAAAAAACTTCTACTGTCCACTGAATAGGTAGTGGTCATACTGTACATCTAGGTCATATGCATCTAGCTCTCCAACAAACAGTTATTAATATGCCGTGGTTATGCAAGAGTAGTTGAATTTTTGATGCATGAAAAGCGTTACCTCAACTTCCCTGGACACTTCTTCGGCACACATTTCATTCCACCACGCACATTTACACACAGCATGTTAGGGCCGCAAATGTCCGGCTGGGATTTGCACTCGTCGATATCTACAAGGTGGAATTTGCAACTCAAGATTGAATACTGGTAAGTTGAACAACTGCATAGCAACAATGATTTCACAATCAATTGAGTGATACATTGGACTCGAGCGACCGTATCGTAGGACGCAACTTGTTCAAGTAGGTAGTGCTCTAAGCCACTAATTTTCAATACCCAGAAGGTAGGATGAATGCAAACGGCGTCCCGGTTAATTGGATTGTAGTTTGCCACGATTATTTGCATTACAAGTGTCACCCATACCTGGTGGAGCGTGAAGAGCATTAATTATACCGCATTTTGAATGGCGCTGTCAAATGGTATCCTCCAAACCACCGTGGTGGTCTTCATCTAGAATAAATACTGTTTATAATCTTTATTTGGATGCGCGGACCTTTGAAAAAGCAATATCTCTTTTTTCTTAGTATGTTTCGTCCCCTTTCATCTTTCACCCTCCGCTTAAAAACTTGTTAAGTAAAAATTATTTAATGATACAGCATCAGGTTTATCAATCAAACCAGTCGTTACGGCTTAAAATGAATGAATAACAAATGAAAATAAGCCACAACTGGACTGCTGTTTGAGTTAAAATAATTCGTACCTTGGCATATTTTGGATTATGCTCTTCAGACCGATCCGTATACCTTAGTGTCCGACCGATTCATTACGTTAAAATCAAGATTTTTTTAGAAAACAACAAACAATGCAACGTGAAAATGAGGTTAAATGAATTCATGTCTGTTACCTTCGCATTCCTGAGTTTCTTGGTTGAGTACGTAACCGAAACCGCACGGTACCTGACGAACACACTGAAAAGAACCGATCACGTTTCTGCACTCGTATCCAGCCCTACAGACTTCCGGCGACACCTTACACTCGTCAATGTCTAAAATAAGACGGCTTGATCTTTTTTCTCGGTTTTGAATGCACGCAAAGCAATGGTAACTTTGTGACATTGTTTTGGCATGCATGTAAATTGCAGGCAACTTTGTATTCATGCAGACCTTTTCGTTTGTTTGCACTAAGACAACCGACAACTGAGGTGATTAGAGCAGCCTTGTTTACTAATTGCATCTCCAACTAGACATGGCTAATATTGCCAATTCCCATTTCGCGGATTGCTGAGATAGCTATGGAGTAAGACTTCAGTGCTTGCCAACCGAATCAAATATTATGTAGTCCATCACACCATCATGTCTTGATTCTGCCAGATATGGCACATTTGGGCACAAACGCGGAACACTGAGACTTCCTCTGCGAACCCCTCAATGTCAACACTAGGTGTTTCCGGAACCGACAACTGTATAGTATTCTATGGAACCAAGACAAGATCAGCGCATAAAATTCGCTCCTAAAGGCAGATTCAAGTAGAATTTTGGGAAAAAATGGACTAGCATATGAGAAAAAGCAACACTTGCCGACGCATTCGCCTTCTCGGCTTTTTTGGAAGCCCTGCTTGCAGTCGCAGTGATAGCTGCCCACCGTGTTTACGCACTGCTGGCCGGATTTCTGACAGACTGGTACGCTACGATTCTCCTCCCAGACGCCCTCCTCACACTCATTTATGTCTGGTGGTTGGAGTACATGCAGGAGACGAAAGCATAAGTGAAGAGGCATGCACATGCGGCAATAATGTACTTTTCATTCAAGAGAAGATGCTTAGCGGATTGTAGGCTTTTTTGGTGTACAATAGCAGCCGTCGTAAAGTGCTTTTTATCGCCTTTTAATGCTATTTTATGAACTGTATTCAAATAAAGAGAAAATTGTTGATTGCACTTTGAATAAACAAAGCATGCAAATTTTGGTTGATTGCAACAGAAGCCTCATTAATTAGTCCAGGTGGTCTGGCGTCAACGGATCATGCATAGAATAGATTGACAATCGCAAAAAAAGCGTTTAAAAACACTAACGCTGTTTATTGCCGCCCACTGTCGCTCAAATTACGCAGATTCTAGCGGCTGTGCGCTGGACAATTAACAACACTGTGGTAGGTCAACTGACAGGCCATCTGGCTGGGCAATCGCTGGAATCAGCATAATACCGTGTGATTTAACGATTTGATGCCAGTCGTGTGATTAGCCAAAACCATTATTCCAGATCACTCTCTAATTGATCTACGTAACCACGTGTACTTCGATAATTGTATACAGTTTGTATTCGAGCAATGCCTTGTAAACTATTACACAATTCATTAGTACTTCATTTCTCACTTTTACCAGTTGAATCCACCTTCAAATCGAACACTCGCCTAACCTCGGTGCGATGTAAGGCCATACGTTCAGCAATTACATTAATTAAGTTCGTTTGAATGCCTATTTCTACCGCCACGCAAGTATAGTGAACTGTTGCTCGTCATCATTGAAACAGCCCAGTTTCAACTTATGATCTTAATTACTAAGACAATAAACGATTCACGCCTTACTAGCTATTTCAATTGCACTTTTCCACAGCGGTTACAAACAAATATCTTGGACAGCTAGGGTCCTCGTATCGGCCATTATTTTGCTGTTATCTTGTTGATTTTGCAACCAAAACAGAAAATGGGATTTCCAAATAGCCTCGTTGGTCTGAGACTCCTCTCTCTTTCATCAAAGAGGAATTGATTTAATACTCAGCAGAAATAATTAAGCAATAACTAATCAAAACACGGTGGTTAATGGAAAGCGTGATAGCAGAATGTGGGATCAATGATGGTTTTTATCCATATATCTAACTGAAAGTGTGATGAATCGTATTAATTCACGCCAATTAAATCGATTGTTGTGTTCCTCTTTTCACAGTGTGTCGTCACCTATGCAGGACCACACGATCATTCACCTCTGTGAACGAACCACCCATACCCGTTTTAATCCACTTGGCCATTCAGACGTTTTTTCCTTTACTAGTTCATCAAGACCGTATCAGTCATGCACTACCTTTAATACATTCACACCCTCTTCATCTTCTTCATCTTCGTTGTATCATGGTGGCGTATTCCCGTTAGAGTTAACGAAGTAGCTCCGGCGTAGTTTGAGACCACATGAGGCGGCCCTCAACAATTGGTGACCTCAATGCGATGGCCTTCAACAAATGTTTTAGTTGGTTATGAATAGCGCCAATTCACATTCGTTAATCCGATCAATTTAGCCTCCGACACAGGACCCCCTATTTGCAGCATGTCGCCAGCCACGTGGATCCTCAACTCCCCACTCATTAGCGCTAACGATTATCTTAGATTATCCTTACACCTAGGTCACGATGTTAGCACATCTATTACTCAGACATCTGAGATATACACACACGCAAAAGCCACATATGACAAAACAACACCGACGTGGTTGAGTTCTGAAGTAGACGGTTGTAACCACGTCCTCTCCGGTCTTCTTCTCCATCGTGGGTATCAGGGTAGCGTAATCGGGCCAGAACCAACTCACTGGCCCCGGCGTGGTTCAAGACCACATCCGGGGGCCCACAACAATCAGTGACCCCGATCTGATGAAGGCTTCTCCAAATCCCACAACAAATTGTGAGCAGCAAACGTTTCACATAGCTTTGCATTGCAGGCATGCTAGCCAAATGTATTAATGCTACTCACCTTCACAGCCACTCAGGTCATTGCGGTATTCAAAACCTGGTGGGCAGTTGAATTCGTCGCCGTGTTTGGGCAGACACATGTTTCGTTTCACTGAAAGGTACATTCCCCTTGGGCAGCGGGCACTGGTGTGAAGACAGAGTTGCTTCTCAGGGTGCCACTTGAAGCCTGTCTCGCAGACGATCTCCGAGTCCGCGCCGTGATTGGCCGGAGGAGACGCCAAGTCAGGTGGAGTAGACGTTTCCTCGATGGCTGGTTCGAGGTTCCTGTGTGGCGTAGGGGTCTCAGTGATGTAAGCAGTGGAATTTAACTCCGTCGCACGATCGACTAATAGGGTGGAATTTTTGGCTGGGGAGGCAACAACGGTCACTGAGGTGGCGAACTTCTTAGTTAACGGTGGTGCTTCGTGAGGATAGTCTCTAACTGTCTCCGGGGTTGCTTGAGCAAAGGGATCCAGGTCGTCAGGGACTGCAGAGTTTTAAAATAATTCAAAATTTTAAATGCTACTTTCACAAAGCGAGTTCTTTTACAAAAGAGGCAAATCCCGGTTTTCCCCTATGACTATTAAAGGCGGGACTAGTTTTGGAGCTTACGAAGCAGTGTGCCCGAAAAATCCTTGAATTGCTTTGCCCTAATCGGTTTTAATCTAATACATTTCGTAATTAACAAACAAATCCGAACTGCTTCACGCGCAAACAACGTGCACACATTTCCAACATAGTTCTTCACATCACAAATAGCTTATGTTCGCCCTGCTGTCCTAAAATTAGGCCACGCTTCAAGTAAGTTTTTATCGAAACACCTATTTTTGGATTGCTGCTGATTTTGAGAGAAAGTAAAGCAGCCATTAAGGCTTAACCTGTTCAAGTCAGAAAAATCACGACATTTTTACGAGTTTCAACTAATTTGAAACAGCTCACACACGCTAGCTGGATTTTTGAAAGGCCACTGTAAATGTAAGCCATCTTCCTCAAAGGCTACTTAACACAAAAATGAGTAAGGTAGTAAGCACTTAGTATAAATCTACAACGGGAAATGTCTCGGTCTCTTCTGGGTGATGACAGACCATATCTAAAAAGGGATTAGAATTTACTTAAAATTTGCATTAAAATGTGTACCAAAAACATAGATTGGGCTTAGTCCATCACACATTCTGGAAAGCCTGATTTTTTGCTACATGTCTTGTCTTTTCACTGAAAAAAAACGTTGCCTTGTGGCTAACAAATCTGTATTTACCTTCGTAGCCTTTGACTGTGCAGCACAGCGGGACACCGTTGATGTCAAAGTCCATGTGGTCGCCAGAGACCACATCTAGCGCAGGGAGTCGGTTGTGCCTCCTGCAACAATCCTAGAAAACCATGGAAATTCGTGAATTGCCAGGTAAGTTAATTAGTTAGGAGCTTTTGAGCCAACGCGATTCTATCAAGTACACATCTCTCCTGGCAAATCACGGTGTTTGGAAGACGCGAATCTACTTTGGGGGGGGGGTCTTCTCGACCTCGTCCAAAGCCAGCCGTATTCAAAGTCACACAGAAGCGATGTCCTAGCAAATAACTCTCAAAAAGGCGCGGCTAGTTCACTTAGATCATGAATTCAAAGTAGTTTAGCGATTGCAAATAGTTTTGACCTCCGTGTGACAGGAATAGGCTGGTGTTTGTTGTTATAAGGTCAATTTAAACACAATACCTCTAATCGCCATCAATTTTGACAAAATTTGCACATGCCTTGGGGAATTTCCATGTCTTCAGAACTGATGATGAGTCACACTTTTCGTCGTCCACCCTATTGGACTAGCACATTTTGGGGATTTTCAGGATTTTTGCAAAAATCAGGCAAGATCAGCGACATTCTGTGCTTTAGGGTGATCTATGCATGCTCAGAATTCGCAACTTCCCATAGCTAAATCAAATTTTCGTCCCTCGAGTGGCGTGAGATATAAACCTCAGTAATATGGAGTTTTTAATGTGCTTGTCACTTTTGTAGGCCCCTAATAGTTTGCCGTTTTGTGTGAAGGTAGCCAAAATTGACGAATAATACTAATTTTCGACGAAATCAGTCACACTCTAAGAGGGAACTTGACGGATTCAAAATGAACTAGGAAAGACTTGTGTGCATTTTAACACATAGATTTCCGTCTTAACGAATGAGCATTTGGCTGGTAGGAAAAATTAAAACATCTTTGGCCGCGACTTCCGTCAGCGAAAGAGGAAAGAAATTCCACTCTGCTCGTCATTATACCTCGTGCGCGCACGTTCAGTTCATTGACCTCAAGGATGTTCAGCTTACTTTCAAACCTGGGTAAGTGGTCATGTTGTGGGAATTCCCAGATTACGTTAGTCATTCGATACTTCAAGAAAAGGATCCACAAATGCTTTTGACAGAAAGCGAATTTACTGCAGATAAATGACTGATGAACGACGCAACGCTGACTCTAGGAGATCAATCTGTCTAATTTGCAGAGCTTTAATTAATCCTACCTCAAAAAGGTGCTTTTGGATTGCCTGGGAACAATAAGAACCAGTTTGTACCCCAGACCATAAGTTAGCATCATAAAGCCCGATGTATTAGTTGTGTCCTCTGGATTTTCTGGCATTTTTGGATATATCGTTGATGTTGTATCATTTCGTTGTTAAAAACATTCATTCCTACGCCTTTTAGTGTAGGAATTTTGCAACTTGGTAGGTTGACAATTGTCATGAAGAACTTGCTAGTTTACCTAGGCCTAACCAAGACGTCAGTCGCAAATAGTTGTTGTGATTATCCTCACTAATATCGTCAACGATATGAGAAAAGATTTGATGAAATTGTCTGTCATTTTTCCCACTCTCCTACGTATTCCCGCTCTCTTATTTTAGACATTAAATAGCATTTTCTCTCAAAAAAGCTTAGAGTTTACTATGTACTTGGTTGACTCTGAGTGTACACTTGGCTTTCCTTTAAAAAATCGGAACAATTTTTTTAACAAAGTATCTTATCTAACACTTCCGAGACGAAAGGGCCGAATTAAACTTCCACGAGCAAAAACCAGACGGACTGTGTAAGCTCCAGTTGTTGCTGAAGGTTTAAATCTCCAACTCTGCAGCATTAAATTCTATAACGAAAAATGTCTTACTTTTGGAGACTTGAGAATATCCGGATAGAAGTGGAGAATCGGTGGCAATTTGGCATCAGAGGAGACAATATTTCGGGCAGCGTTATCACAGAATATGTTGGCTTTGGCGGCATAAAAGCATCCCCTTTTAACCTGCAAACACTTGGCCATCGTATCGCCCGTCAGCTCATTGTTGATGTTGCTTACCTTAAAAAGGCAAAAAGGTTTATTCTTCGTTTTCCTGGTGTTTTTCAGTTGTAAACAAAATATATTTAGTCGCTATTGTAAAATGGTTATTTGTCAACAGTTTGCTCCGTAAAGGTATGTTGCTAGACTCCTATGTAACTATTCAGTTTTTTATTAGCGTTTTGCGTGTGAGAGTTGTAGGAGAAAATGTCCTTCGAAATGACACCTTCTTGGGACGAATGCTCGAATAAGACTTGAGTTATTGCATTTATCTAATGTCTTGGGCCATTATGCATGTTGGATTTCCTATCTCCACAACAAATTGAGAGGTGGTGATTGGATTTGCTGTTTCACATTATACCGATGTAAAAAAGCATAATCATGTAGGTTTTTTTATTCAAAAAGGTGGCGCGTTGTTGTAGAACTCAAGACAATTGACTACCTCTCTGAAAATCTGGTCAACCTGATTGATGGCAATACACTCGTCCGCAGTGCTCTCCTTAATGAGTGAGTCAAGCTCCATGTTGTGTGTGGTGTTAATTCCAGCGCTGCAACAGGCATCGAAAGAAAGGCGCTCCAGCGCACAACAGGGTTGTAGAAACGCGAACGAAGCAATTGAGAGTGCAGTACAGAAGAGGAAGGCCATCCGCTTAACTTCTAGTGGATCTGGTGGCATTTCCTGAAAAACATAGTTAGACCTTTGGATTGAGCCTTAATTCATCACCGATTCCCATTGTACTCAACTTTCATGACGTTGATTAATGATGAATTCATGAAGCTAATTGGTGCTTTTGCAAAAACCATTATCGATTGGTCAAAATATCATTGGTCATTGGAGGCAGCGAAATCTTTTCTTATATCGCCTTCAGATCCTTGCCTGTTTAGGTCGCTATAATATAGACTAAACTAAGTAAATCACTCCAACCGTTGGAGCATTACCTAACACGAATCAAAACAGAGACAGGAAATATTAGTCCGTCATTGGAAAAGTTTCAGATAGAATTCGAAACACCGAAATATTTTTACTTCACTCCAGGTTCATTCAAGAAAAATGCCTGAATTTCAGCCACTACGCTATCTTCTGCGTGCTAATACGTTGTTCTCTGATTCTTGCACCACGTTGAGGACATGCTTTATTTCACTTCGAGTAATTTCACACTGTTACAACATTAGTTTATTAATTGGTGATTAATTTGCGAAAATATTTCAAGAAAATGTTCGAAGTTCATATGTTGAGAGTAATATTTTATAACGTTTGGACTATTACTAATTTGAGCGCACCTGGAATCATGTTCTAGCAAATTCCTTCAAATTGCTCCGATTTCAAATTGCGTAAAATATTCCTGGGAGTCATCTCATTTGCCGTCTCTTGGAAGCTAAATTATTTTATGCATATTCGCTTTGAAAAGCTTAATTTCTTCCTTCGAAAACTGGACTTATTCCCACCTGATTACGGCTGTTATCAGACGGGAATAGAAACTTGTAAGATTACAAAAAGTTTGTCTTCGCTTAAATTGAATCACGCTTACCAACAAAACACGCTAGCTATATAAGGAAACGTTCAGTCCCTGAATAATTTCTTGAACAAAGTGACCTATTTCATAGCCTAAACAACCAATCGAAACGTTGTCTTATAATCAGAACAATTTTTGCTCATTTATTTATCATAGGTCCAGTTTGAACCGCTGTGGCTAGGGAGATTGAGTAAACTTGGAGTCGGGCTTATCCATTTATCAGTGAATATTGAACCTGGTTGAAATTGTTGTTAAGTCACGAAGTGCACCAAAGCATTCTCTAAGCAGCCCACACTAATTAAAAGTCTTTTTCGAAAATTTGATTCTACCGCATCCCGTGTCGCTTCCTATCTAGAGCGCAAAGTCGGTTTCCCTGAACACTGACCGATTCGAAATTGTCAGTTCAGGTGTAGGCAATAATCGAACCAAATTATCAACCAAGCCATTTTTTGATAAAAGCAGTGCATAATAATATCCTTTTATTTGGGTTGTTCTTTTCATCCAAGTCATGTTTCTGAATATCAACGCTCTATATTTGTTACTTTTGACTATTTGTAACTGCCTGGTGGTTTTTAGAGGTAGATTCAGCGACGGAAATATCCAAATTTTCATTGTCTTCACTCTTCGCTGTTTTAAGTAGCAAAAGTCCGGTTCTGAAGATCAAGCTACTACATCTGGTGACCCCGACGGGGGGGAATATTTGGAGTGGACTGACAGCCGCCCGCGCGAGTGTGCGTGCATGAGGGCCCGTGTCACTTGGTTGTTTTGACATCAATAAACCAGTCGTGTCCGCTCTCGCCTCTTCTCCACTCTACTCGAGTTGTCTTGGGCTGTTAATTAGATGGTTGTAAGGTAGTACTAAGATCAAGCTACTACATGTTGTGTGCGTATGAGTACGCGTGCGTAACAGACTAATGCTGACAAAAATCAATAACAAAAGGGGATGAGTCATCGCTATACACGGGCCCTCATGCACGCACACTCGCGCGGGACGGCTGTCAGTCCACTACAAACATGTTGTTTGAATCCAATCGAACCTTGACAAAATTTAAATTTTCATTTTACTTTCACCATTCCAAGAGTTAAAGTGTTAAAGGTTCCAAAAGTAGGCACCAAATTCATAGCATGGATTAGTAGTCTACTGTCCGATGTACGGCTGTCATTGATACTTCCTCATCGGTATCATGATTGTGGTTTAAAACCTTTAGTGTTTTATCTGTTTATCAAACATGTAAGGCGGTTGACCTGCACAATTAAAATGAATGCAGCGATTCAAATCTTGTAATCTTCAACGATGTCGCAGCAAACGATCAATTTAAGTATAATCGTTGCAGACAGCTTCCAGAATCATGAAAATAAGGTTTACAATGCAGCTTCAGAATCGTGATTCTTTATGGGTGGACTGAGAAAGCGGAAATAAAATGACAAGATATCCCAAATTTTGGCACCTCAAAGTCAGTGTGGCCACGTCGTGTGCACGGGCCGATCAAGGATTCACTTCTGGTTACAATTTCCTGTGCGATAAACGTAATGTTCAGGTCATTGCAAGTCACAGTTTTCTGATTTAACTCTAATTTTGCAGCATCTTTGATGCAAGACTGAAGGCAAAAATGAACAATGTATTCATTATCAAGTATCCTAGTAGGAAGTGTTTAATTAACTCATCGTTTGCAGCGCGAAGTCATCTTATCTTGATTTTTCGGTATTCCGTACAACTATTTAGCAAGTGAAAGCAGCGCTAATTGGTGTTGGCAGAAAATGTGTGTCATTGTGGGTGTGAAAGCGCTTTTGTTCAACAATACCAGGGCGAACTAATGGAATTTTTCCCACGACGGCGTTATTCCCCATTAGGGAAATGAAAGCCATTGAATAATGTGGCTAGCTTGTGGGTTTTATAACTTCAGGTATATTCTGCCGTTTTCAGTGTGAAATTCGGATCCGCTTAGTTCACAAAGCCTGAACAACTTAAAGAATTGCACATTTTATTTAAAGGTCATTAAATGGACCACAGTCTTGTGTGACTCTTGCAGGCATATCGACAGACAGGCCAATGTTTGCACGTTAACATTGTAAAAGCTTGCAATTAATCCCCACAATGTCATCACCACGAAAGCCAGCGGATGACGCAATTGAACATGCAGGGTAAATTGTGCTGTTCACACTCATGATGCAAATAATGATGGCACATTACACTTCATGAAACCACAAAATCATTTTTATGCACACTACCTTCTAGCTATTTGAAACCAGTAGCTTAGAGCACGACGTAAAGGCACAAGTATGCACGTCAGCAAGTTGTGTGCTGAGCTACGGTTGTTCAAGTCCAGCGTATCACCCAATTGATTATGAAATCATTGTTGCCATGCGGTTGTTCAACTTGCTAATATTTCATCTTGTAGATATCGGCATGTGGGAATGCGAGTGTGTTCAGCGATGTTGAGGTAATGATTTTCATGCAAATAAACCCAAATGACCTGCTGGTGTAATCAGTTACCTCTTGAATTCATGTCCGAAACTGCAAATTAATGACTGTTTACTGTGAAGCTAACTGCGATGGAGCGAAAGTTAGAGTTTGACTGACATGGAGTTAGTAGACGGCTGAATGCTTAATAGAATGCTCGTGAACAATTTTGTGCAGAAAGTCTAACTTGGTCAAATAACTTGTGGGATTTTACCTTAGGCTTAAAGGAGTTGAACACACTATTGTTGAAAAGCACTTAAAGTTTCTAGGACTGGTTAAGAAGCCCAACATTAAAAACAACTTTATTCAATTCGACCATTCAGTATTTGTGACATTCAATCCAAGCGTTATAAAATTTGCCCATTAGTTAGGGATTATAACTACTTTTAAAAAAAAATTAGTGGGAAATGATTCAAGCTGGTCCAATCGTAATGATCACGTTGGATCCTGAGATGCGTCAGACGAAGACCATTCTGTAAATGCGGCGAGAATATTGATCGGATCCAAATGAACACATTGATCTGCTCTGATCTATGCAGTCAATAAAGTTTGATTCACGACTAAGAGGCAGCTGTTTAGAATTATGGGGGCGTGTTTCGTTAGGGAAACTGCATCCACAATCAAAAAAATGTGTTTTCTTGGATTCAAGGAAGTCTTCTTTTAGCAGAGTTCACGCACATTCATTCATGGAGTTAAGAAGTCGAGGTTTATTTGATCACCAACCGTTCGAGGAATCTAGGGTAAATGCCACATATTTCACAGTACCTTGTCATAGAAATAACATGATTTAACGGCTTGAACACATTAACTATGGCGATGCACAAAGTGACTGCGAAATCGAGGTCATGAAAACGCATTGGGTTTTCGGTGGTCGGTCAGATCTCACGTACCTGAACACGTGAGGCTACCGTGACACATGA